TAAAACAAAGACTAAGAGACAAAGAAGGACACTGTTATGATTAAGGGCTGATTTCAACAAGATGATATAAATATAAATATCCAGTCAATAGAGCAGCATCTAAATACATAGCAGATATTAACAGTCATAAAGGGAGGAACTGACAGTGATACTCTAATAATAGGAGACTTTAAACACCCTACTTAATTTAATGGATCAATCATACCGACAGAAAAATCATTAAGGAAACAATGGCTTGAACAACATGTTAGACCAATGGACTTAATAAATACAGAACATTACATCCCAAAACAGAATACTCATTTTTTTCAAGTGCACATGATACATTTTCCAGGATAGATCACATGGTAGGCCATAAAACAAGCCTTAATATTAATTTAAGAAGACTGAAATCATTCCAAGCATCTTTATTAACCAAAGCAGTATGAAAAATCAGTTACAAGAAAAAAGAATGGAAAAAACAAAAACACAGGGAAGCTAAACAGCATGCTACTAAACCAACAATGAGTCAATGAAGAAATCAAGGAGTAAATAAAAACTACTTGGGAAATAATGAAAATAGGAACAATCATTCAAAACCTTTGGGATGCAGCAAAAGCAGCTCTAGGAGAAAAGTTTTTAGCCGTACAGGCCTACCTCAAGAAACAAGAACAAACTCAATCAATCTAACCCTATACCTAAAGTAACTAGAAAAATAAGAATAAACCTGGCTCAAAGTTAGTAGAAGGAAGGAGTCAACAGATTACAGCAGAAATAGAGACAAAAAAAAAAATACAAAAGCTGAAACTAAGCTGGTTCTTTGAACAGAAACAAAGTTAGTGAACCTTTCATCAAGAAAAAGGGACTCAAAATTAGAAACAAAAAAGAAGTTACAAATGACACCACAGAAATAAAAACAAATATGAGATTATATGAAAAATTAAATGTCCACAAATTGGACAACCTAAAAAAGTGGATAAATTCCTAGAAACATGCCATCTCCCAAGACTGAACCAGGAAAAAATAGAAAATCTGAATAGCCCAACTACCAGTAAAGAAATTGAAGTGGTGATCAAAAACTCCCAAATAACAAAATAACCAGATGGCTTCACAGGAGAATTCTATCGAACATTTAAAGAAGAGTTGATACCTCTTCTACTCAAACTATTCAAAAAAAGAAAGAAAAAATTGAAGAGGAGGAAAGCTTCCAACTCATTCTACAAGGCTAGCATCACCTTGATACCAAAATCAGACAAGCACTACAAAAAAAAGAAAATTACAGACCAACATTTCTGATGAACACAGATGCAAAAATCCTCAAAATACCAGCAAACAAAATTCAAAAATACATCAGCAGGATAATTCACCATGACCAAGTGGGATTCCATCCCTATGTAAGGATGGTTCAATATCTGCACATCAATCACTATGATACACCACATTAACGAAGGAAGGATAACCCTATGGTCATCTCAATAAGACACTAAAAAAGCACTTGACAAAACATTATAAAAAAATCAACAAAGTGGGTATAGAAAGCACATATATCAACATAATAAAGGCCATATACAACAAACTTATAGCTCATATCATACTCAGTGGTGAAAAGCTAAACAGTTTTCCTCTAAGATCAGAAATGAGACAAAGATATCCACTCTCACCACTTCTATTCAACATAGTACTGGAAGTCCTAGCCATAGCAATCAGACAAGAAATAAAAGGCATCTAAACTGGAAGGAATAATTAATACTGTCATTATTTGCAGATTACATGATATACTAGGTAAGGAAAACCCTAAGAAAAACTATTAGAATAAATCAATTTAGTAAAGGCTCAGGATATAAAATTAATGTGCAGAAATGTTGCTATTTACAGCTGCATCAAAAAGAATCAATCTAATGAAGAGGGTAAAAGACCTGTACTCTGAAAACTGTAAGACACTGATGAACAAAACTGAAGACAACACAAATAAATGGAAAGATATTCCATGGTATGTATAGTAAATATATTGTTAAAATGGCCATACTCCCCAAAGCAATACACAGATTGAATACAATACCTATCAGAATTTTTTGACAGACCTGGAAAAAATAATCCTACAATTTGTATGGTACCACAAAAGGCCCCAAATAGCTAAAGCAATCTTGAGAAAGAACAAAGCAGGGGTACTATGCTTCCTGATTGCAAACTATACTACAAAGCTATAGTAATCAAACAGCATAGCACTGGCACAAGAACAGATACACAGATCAATGGAAAAGAATACAGAGACCAGAAGCAAACACACACCTATATGGTCAATTAGTATATGACAAAGGCAAGAATATACAATGGAGAAAAGACAATTTTGTTGATAAGTTAAATTGGGAAAACTGGATAGCTACATGACAAAGAATGAAATTGGATCACTGTTGCATACCATACACAAAAGTAAATTTGAAGTGATTGAAGACCTAAATATAAGACCTGAAATCATAAAACTCATAGAAGAAGGTATAGGCAGTACACTCTTAAACACTGGCATTAATAAATGTTTTCTGGATACATCCCTCAGGCAAAAGAAACAAAAGCAAAAATATGGTACTACATCAAACTAAAAAGCTTTTGCACAGCAAAGGAAACCATCAACAAAATGAAAAGGCAGTCTATTGAATGGGAGGACATATTTTCAAATGATATATCTAATAATGGGATAATGTCCAAAATATATAAAGAATTCATACAACTCAACATCAAAAATCAAATATTGATTAAAAAATGTGCAAATGACCTGCAGAGACATTTTTCCAAAGAAGATACACAGACGACCAACAGCTACATAAAAAGATGCTCAATATCACTAATCATCAGGGAAGTAGAAATCAAAACCACAATGAGATGTTATCTCACACTAGTCAGAATGGCTAATATCAACCATTGTTGATGTTAGACGTGATGTTAGGTTGATGAGAATGTGGAAAAAAGGAAACCCTCATACACTGCTGATGGGACTGCAAATTGGCACAGCCACTATGGAAGGCAGTATGGGGGTTTCTCAAAAAAAAAAACTAAAAATAGAGATACCCTATGACCTAGCAATTCCACTTGCAGGGATTTTCCCAAAGAAAACAAAATCACTAATCCCAAAAGATATGCACTCCTATGTCTACTGCTTCATTATTTACAATAACCAAAAAATGGAAGCAACCTAAATGTCCATAAAAAAGGTGAGGTACACATATATCTGTGAAACACTCCTCAACCAAAAAAGAATGAAATCTTACCATTTGTGACAATATGTATGGACCTAGAGTATATTAAGTGAAACAAAGACAAATGCCATATGATTTCACTTATATGTAGAACCTGAGAAACAACAAATGAACAAAACAAATAGACTAACCGAGAACAGACTGGCGGTGGCCATAGGGGAGAGGGGCCAGGGTATGGGTGAAATAGGTTGAAGGGGCGAAAATCAGGGAGAATATTTGATATCTTCTTGATCTGGGTGGTGGTTACAGGAGTATATACATATGTCAAAATTCATCAAGTTGTTCACTAAGAATGTACATTTTTTTGTATGTACCTCAATATTAAAACTTTCATGTCAGAATTTTAAATGAGCTGGAATTCAATAAATGTAAGAATCACTTATCTATAGGGGTATATCAGTTTACTATTTGTATTACAAATACTCAAAAATTATACAAGTTATTATTTGGATTCAAAAAATATTTTCACAGATACAATTAAGTAATAGTTAGCCTGTTAGTTATTATATTGCTCAGAGAAAAGAAATATCCTAAATGGTTCATTAAAATTGTTAAGTTGAATTTTCAGTTAATATATTTGTTTAGTACTGCTTTATAAAAAGACTTCATCAAGTTTCAGGTATTATCTGAATACTACATTTTAAAAATGAACTTTTAAAATGTCTGCAATACTTTTCCCCTTAGGCTAAGTTCATAATACTTGAATTTGAAGCCCACATTTCCATTGGCTCCATTTCTGATTTTCCATGCCCAGCCTCTGATTTAATGGGTGTGGGCCTTTGCTGAGAGTCTTCAGCCAGAGGCAGAAAAGCATCTTCTGTTGTGTGAAATCATTTTCCCTGGGACAAGAGTGGGGCAGCAGTGTTGTGAGCTCTGCTCTCAAGCATTGAAAGAGGCCCAAAGTTCACAGGGGCACTGGCTTTTTAACCAAGTCTGTAGGCTACAGCAGTGGACGGAAGCCAGCTACCAAATTGGCCTTGGGGCAGTCATGAACTGGCTTCCAATTTTTAACAATAGCATTGGGAAGAAAATGCTCAGAGCTCTGCCAGATTAGCTGAATGTGGAAATCCAGCTATATCTAACATGTGGCGTATTCTAAGCAGACTTTCAGTGCAAAAGAAAGAGTTGTCCCATGCTAGCTCTTAGAATAGTAAGCCTTTGTTTTCTCTGAAAGTATATTTCTTTGCAAAACTTTTTTTCCCTAAATCAAGAGGACCATTTATAGTTTTCTAGACTGAGACCTAATGAATGGACATTTCACAATGTCAGTGTCTAGCTGTAGGGAGTACTACTAGAAAAAAAGAAAGAAGCCCACTAATAAATGCCTTATTTATTAAGCATATTTCAGCATTCCCTTAATACTCTATAATATGATTCTAAAAAACATGACTTGAACTTTATGGCATAAGATCTAGACTGTTTTGTATAAGCATGAGGAGGAGGAAGAACTGGTAGAGCTGGTTTAGGCATGGAGAGGGGCTCCCTGAGCACGATGGGGTCCCCTTGCTGCGCCTTTTATGGGATCACCATTTCTGATCCAGCTTTGGTGGGAGGGGTGCAGAGGAAGGCAAGTAAGTGATCACAGAGCTTTCCTGAGCGGCAAACACCGTTGCCAAAGGCTCAACATCAGATAAGAAGCATCAGACCTTTAGTTTCAGTGAGATCCTCCTACATACATGCAGGTGAGAAGAACCCCTCTTCCAAGTGTTCAGAAATAGAATGACTATCACAGACTCCACGGCCCTCGGAAAGGGATCGAGATGCGCTCACCGTGACTGTGTTTTCTTCGATCACATATATCTGGGGATTATAGGTGTCAATTTCTGCAGATGCTGTCAGTTGTACTGTCTGAAAAGTCGACTGTAACATAAGAATAAAGAATATATTTTACCCTAGAAGAAGGTATAGCATAAAACTTTATTTATTTCATTGTGAAAAGTGACAAAAGTAAATGCCAAACTCTGAAGACTCCAGAATCACTGTGTGCTTAACCCAGCCACGTGTGACAGGCCCACACACGAGAAGTACGTGGGGGACTAAACACCTGCGGATGGCTGAGCCTGGCCATCCACACTGAACTGGATCTCGGGGACGGACCCCAGACGTCAGCAGGGTAGAACATCTCTCTAGGGGATTCTACCTTGAAAACAGAGTTGAAAAACAAGCATTTAGAAATGAAGTTTTTAATTGGGAAAGATCACAGTTCTAATTTTTTAAAAACTTAATGAAGTTTGTGACAGGAGGGAAAATTACAAACTTGTTATTTTTTATATGCTCACCTAAATAAGTTATATAATGGAATGGAACTTCAGATTAAAAAAGGAAGAGATGTTTTCTTCTAGGAGCATATGTGTAAAATAATACTGTTTAAAAGTATACTTGAACTTAATCATGCATGTTAGCAGCAGACACACTGAACCTTTTCTCATGCCTTATAACTATTAATTTCAGGTTTTCTAATCTAAGCATTTCTAGAAAAAGTACCGGATTTGGGTCAGGCATATAGAAGGACATATATTTTATGCTGATGTTACTAGTATCAGCCTAACATGAAAATACTTTACATGCATTCCTGGATCTAGTTACAGGAAAACAGCTCATTTTTCAAAGGATACATTACTGATGTATATATTGTTTTCTATATAATGAAAACACTGGGACTAATGCTTCCTTTGAAGTTGAATTACAATGCCCAGATTTGAGAACTGCCTTCACATGCCCTGACTACTAGTACTTAGTTTTTCTTGTTACTGGGGCACGTGATTAAATAGACTCTATGAGGTAATCTGCTAAACTATATCTGGGAACCAGAAAGAGAATGCATATCCAAAAAATGAGCAGTTTATTTCCTTTCCACTGGCTCAGTCTCTGATTAGTTGTAATTTTCTCAAGATGGAAGACTGCATGAGAAGTTAAGTCTGATCACTGGTCTCTTAAACATATTTTTGGGGACAGGGTAAGAGCACTGATAATGGTTTACATTGAAAACAAAAAGAGCAGCAGTTAAGAGAATGTTGCTTTCATAGTCCCTGTAAACTCAAGAGGAAGACATTTTCTTACAACACCGTACATCTGCCCTCCCAAGTCTGGCCCTTTGCGTAGATGCCCAGTATCTGCAGGGCTAACAAGCAGTGGTGGAAAGGCCACGCAGGCCCAGGAGAATGAAGTCCCATGCCTACTAGCATTTACCAAGGCTTTGCCTAACAAATGGCAGTCAACATTGCCATCGATTTGGAGGTCTGAGCATTCACTCTGTGATGAAATTACTTGGGATGTTAAGTTGACTTTTACTGCATCAGCCAATGGTTAAAGGCAGGATGATAATGGGCTGTAATATAGGAAATGAGATCCATATTTCAGACTGGGTCTCCTAGGTGGTCTGAAAACATCCACTTGGGTGTTGAAATAGCTGAAAACAGCAAGGAGTTAAACATTTAACCTTTCATGAAGGAGCAAGATGTGTAGGACTTGATAGTCAGGAACTTTCATGGTGTTATTCAGTTTAACCATCATAACCTTGTTGGAAAAGCATAAATATGCTTCAGAATTTTACTCCCAGAAATGAAATTGCTGCTTCTGAAAATCTCTAGGAAAAGGTACTTTCAAAAGTCTTACAGTTAAAATAACGTAGCTTTAAACAAACTCAAGAAAAACCAGATACTTTTTACAGAGCAGCATGATTGCATTTTGATTTGTAACAGTCCTTCCCAGCTGGCAGAGGTTGCTACGAAAACATTTGTTTCTTAAGTCCAAGGAGCCAAGAACCAGTTGGTGAAACTGAGCAGCTGGGATAGTGGGGTACCAGCATGATTCCCTTCTAGCAGGATTCAGAGGTGTCCTCAAGGCCCAAAAGCAAATGCAGCTGACAAGCAACAAAAGCATATGGGGAGAAACTCACCCCCCAACTCCTCTACTCCCCCACTTCCCTGTTCCCGCCCTGCCACCATTCACACCTGCCAAAAGCACAAACACACTGCTATTTTGGCACTCTCTTCAAACTTTTCATGAGATCAAAAAGTTGTATGCACACTGGCTTTCACCAGAGAAAGGGTGAAATCGGACAGCAGAGCTGTCACCTGGCCCTAACACAGGGAGACAGAGTGTACATTAGGCTCAGCTACTGGGTGATTTGGGGAGCAATTAGCCAGGAGTTCAGGGACTGGGGCAGAGCCATGTGCACTTTGATTTGGGGTGGTGGAGACTCGGGGGTCAGAAATGTTAAGAGCTTGAAGAGGAACACCGAGCAGGTGCCCCACTGCACCTCAGCGCAGCAGAAGGTACCTGGACACCATTCCCAGAGATTCTCACATAGTGGAGGCTAAGAAGCAGACCCTTTACAACAAGCCGCCCAGCTGATTGCGAGGCCCAGACAGCTTGGGTAAGCTTTGGAAAGGATGGAAGCATCCTGGCTCCCAGGGTGAAACTGCTGTAGGTCATTTGGGCGCTGCTGACTTAGCCAGAGTACTGATCGTGTCAAAGGGTATGAACTTATTGACCGTGAAGCCTTGTTTCCTTGTTATTGGAAAGCCCAGTAAATAAAGCTGATACTTACTGCTGCAAAAGTCCCATTCCAAATTCTGGTAGACACATTGAGGAAGTATTCTCCTTTCATCTGGAGGTCTTTCAGCCAGCAGGTAACAGTCCTACAGGAAGCAGTTCTGCAGTTCTTTCAGGTTGGAGTAATGATAAAAGAAGAGAGGGTTAATACGGGCTTTCAAAAATAAGTGCTAAAATTTTACAAAGATAAAACCCAGTGCTGTGAAAGATCTAGGGAAATAGACAATCTTAGGCACTATTAGTAGACATAACCCTTCCAAGAAAATTTGGCACTACGCCTCAAAATGTAAAAAGGGTTTATCTTCTGCCCCAGCCTTTTCCCATATGTAGGAAAGGCTTCAGGAGATAATCAAGTGTGTGGAAAAAAGTATACCATGCCTGTTTACTGTACTACTTCCAGGAGTAAGAAAATCCAAAAAACTAAGTTGTGTTTATCAACAATATATCAGTTAAGTAAACTGAATATATGTACATAAAATGCAGTACAATTTAGTCATTAAATACAACTGGTAAAGGTGCACTCCTTAGATTTCAGGAAAAGTTGTCAGTGGAAGAATCAGTGGTTACCAAGAGAGAGTGGGGAGGGGGGGGTGAAAGGCAGAGCACAGGCTTGTTAGGGCAGTGAAACGCTTCTGCATAATCAGTGCTACATGTCACTATACATTTCTCAAAACCCATGGGATGTCTGACTCCAAGAGTGAGCCCCAGTGTAAACTGTTCACTTTGGTGGATTATGATGTGTCAGTGTAATGTCATCTATGGAAACATACGTATCACGCTGGTGGGGAGATTTTGACAGTGGAGGAGGCTGTAAATATGCAGGATGGGGCTATAAGGGAAATTTCTCTACTTTTCACTCTATATTACTGTGAATCTAAAGCTGTGCTAGAAGTAAAGCCTATTGAAAAGAGTTGGTGACATATTGGCCTATAAAAAAAGTAGCATGGCCCATTTGTGTAACAGTACACATAGATCTACATGTGGACTAATGCTCAGAGGTATAGAGAGAAGGATGTTCATTAAATGTTAAGAGAGGTCAGCTGTTAGATTTCTGGGGCATTTCAATTTCTTTGTAGTTTTCTGTCTTGTTAAATTTGTTTTATGTTGTTCACAGTGAGCAGTTGCCATTTTACAAAATCAAAACCTTTTGACAAAAATAAGGAAAATGCTCAGAGGCTTAATATTTTGGCACATCCTGAGATGAGTTTCTACTTGGCATTTTTACATACTACTATTTAGATTTAAGCCACATTTACACTGTAGTTATATTATGATTACTTAAAAAAGAAACTAATTTTATTTTCCTATTTTCCCCCATCCATCACAAAATAAAATAGTTGTAGCAAAAGAAAACCAGAATTTCAGTGTTGCTCATAAGGAGAACTCTAGTTTGTTTAGGGTTAGTTTGCTAAGTGTTTCTTATTTGAATACTTAAAATGTTCCAATGTGCCAAATAGCTTCCACCTTGCTGGATGCTAGTCTCTTTCTCAAAGAAAAGGGCATAGCTCTGGAGGAGATAATAAAATATTACAAAACAGAAGTTTGGTCAGAGAGGCATTTGAGCAGCTAGATAAAAGATATCAGTGATTATGTGGGGGAGGGGCAGAAGGAGCTTCACCTCCAAGCACATACCCGGTTCCCTCACAGGTCTTTGCAAAGTTTACAACTGCACAACACAAAAACAGTAGTGTTACATGGATTCCTTCTGATTTCATGAAATCTGTAACATATATTTATAATAATGGCATCGGTAATGATCCAATAATCTAGATTTGAGTGTTTTCTAAGTCTTGATTCCTATGGGCTGAAGGCAAAATAAGAAAGTTCTATGATATGAGGTGGTAGCAGAAAGAAATGTCTTGATTTCCAGGTAAAGCAATGAATCACCAAAGGAAATTGTCACCCCATTAACCTGTACTCACCAATTCTTTTACATGCCAGAAATTTTCCCTCTTGAAAGATACAGAAGAAGATGTTTGTCCTATTTTCAGTGGGTTTATTTCAGCCTTACAGCTGATGTCGCCAGCCTACAAAGGATAACGAATCAGTCTTAGGAAGCAAAATGGTTTATGGTGTTCCTTTCACCACGTTAGAAAATCCTACTGTCACACGTCAGAGAGTAGAGGGGCCCTGAGTCTTCTTCCACAGCACTGGCCTGGCCACACTTCTTCGTGATCACAAGTATAAACTCTGGAGTATTCAGATCCTCCTGACCACGACCCCACAGGATGGTGCTGGTTCTCACAGCCTTTATGTGATGAGACAGTTTGCAGTAACAACAGACTGATGTAATTCAGGGTTCTTTTCTATGAAACATTTTAGGATTTTGATTTCCTGTGCTCACATTTACATACCATGGGACTAACACCTGTAGAATGAGCTAAGTGCTAGACTAAGGCTGAGCTGACATCAAGGAGTTTGGAGAAAGCGGTGCTTCCCAACCCAGGCTGCATGGGGGTGGGGTGGCGGCTTTTAAAGACAACCTCCGGGGCTTGAGTTTAGCCCTAAGGATTCTGATAAAAGTGCATGGTGGTGATTGTAAAAGTAACTCAGGTGACTAAAATGATGGTTGATTGTCATGGGGCCAGAGTACAGGCTGGCAGCACAAAGACCAGCTACTGATTCCAGCTGTGTAGACCAAAAACACCCACTGCGGGAGTATGTATCTGAATGCTCCAGGCCACCTCTCAGTTCCCAGCCAGCTGCCTCCTCTATGAACAGGGCTCTGACCAAGTCAGATCTTCACCTGGACAACATGGGGCTGTAGGAATAATTCGTGCCATCTATAAATCTCTCGACTCAGACAGTGCTTTTCTTATTACAATACTGTGGGAAAAGTTGGGGTTCCTATGGCCAGTATCCTCACCTGAACCTCAACTACTTGATGATATAACTGGCTTGCTGCTAGGCGACTGCTTCTATACCCATAGGTAATACACTATTATTGACTGAGTCACTATATAAAGAGCTCTGTCCAGTGCTCTGGGCGGAGGCAGAGACTTAAGGAGGATTAAAGACCTGCAGTCCAGACATAATTCTAGTGCTTGTCAGGAGAACAAGCCAGGTAATAAACCCCTTCATCCCAAGAACTTTCCATTGTCATTCCTCAGTGTCACTGCATCCATAGTGAACTTGCCTGGGGCCGAAACCCATTGGTAAGACAAATACCCTGCTCCTAATATGAAATGAACTGCTAGTTAACTGGCATTGAGGATGTATAAGGGTTATCTTCTCAGTTTTCCATCTATAAGATGTCAGACGTGATCACCCCAACTGCATGGGGCATTCCCACATTGAAAGTACACATTTTTATAGGCAATCCGATTGCCCTTACCTGATTCGTGTGCACCCCGGTCAGGTACATCAGTGGATTCTTTTCTTTGGTGTATTGAGGGATGTGGATGACTACAGTTGCCAGGCTTACTGGAACACTTCCTGTTGTTACCTACAGAGTATGGAAGGAAACATTCTGGGTATCGCTACATTATGCACAAGTTGCTGGAAAGTAATCAATAACTTCTGCATTGATGGCCAGCCACCACTAAGGGGTATAACTGAATTCACATGAAAATGAGTCTCACTACTTCATGTCACACTTCAGGTCTCTGTGTCTTACCTTTTCATGGAAAATCTCAACACCTACCATTTTAAATGGTAAGTAATTTGTGACTTAAGAATTGGTTAAAAATACTCACTCACCCCAGACCCTCTGAATCAGAAATCTAAGAATGAAGCCCATGGACCAGTGTTTTAACATTTCTCCAGGTGATTCCAATGCATGCTCAGGTTTGAGAAACACTCAACTATTTCAGCTTCTCACTTTCTTCTTCCCTTCCTGGCCTCATTTGTTTCTTTCCCCTTCCTCCTGATTTCCCATCCTTACGACAGGCTTACCAACCTTAATGGAGAAGATGAATTTTGGACCAATATCTTCAAAATTCTGCATGACAGAAGGCACATTCCCATCTGAGAAGACTTCATAAAAATTTATGTTGGTGGATCTGTTGGTTAATGTTTGTAAAGCCAAATAATTTAGTTTTGCTGTTGGTTTGAAGCTTATATTACAGGTAAGATACTTTACATTTAGGAAAAAAAATACTAAATTAAAACAATGGCTTGTTATGGGTTAATGTTTCCAAGGCTAAAACAAATTCCTTTCAATATCCCTTCATGATCTTTCTGCTGAGATTCTTTGCGTTAACATGTTTATCTGTTGTAAAGTTTCTAAAATAAGTACAAATGTATCACATTTTAGAACTGATCATGAAAGTCTTCTCAAGATTGCTCTTCCATTGACTGGTGTGTTAATATAAGTGGATACAGTCCTTGTAGGTTGGATGAATGGAATTTATATCCCAGAGGATTTTCCAATTGCTATGGTGGAAATACAATGGCAGGGTACTGAGTATCAGCTCCTGCAGTATTTGTTACTGTCATCAGTGAAACAGAGCATTCTCTGTCTTTTATTATTCCTTCTCCCCATCCTTCTAGAGTTCCAAACCAATGCCTTTGTGCTGAAGTGGTGGTCAGTCTGACTCTACCACTAGCATAGAGACTTACTTTCGCCAGCTGACCCAGAAGTTCTATTGGGACAGACCCCCAGCACCGCACTGATCTGACCTCTTTGCTTGAGACTGCCAGCTGGCGTCTGCAAGTGAAGTGAGGACCAGGTGACAGGAACCCCCATAGGACCACTCGGACTGGAATGTAACTGGATACTCTCCCCTCGCCGCCTCACTCACTTCTGGAGCTCTGAGGCTGGATTTTAATGGGGGTAGTTCCATTGGCTGGGGGTGGGGAGCAGGGGTAGGAGTCTGAGAAGCAATATTTATTCCCATTAGACAACTTATCCTAATAGGACGTTGTTTCTATTTTCTATAAAAACTGCACAGCAACTTTCTGAGGGTGTTTTTGTTCCTTTACTGAACCCTCGATTTTCTTTTTTATGCCTTTAAAAAACTTTTCCAAATTCTCAAAGGGATAATATGTCAGAGCAAGATTTAAATAGATGTAGTGTTTGTCAAGGTTTTATATATATATATATATATATGAAAGGAAACAATGATTTGTCAGCCTCTCATGGAAAATGGGAAAACTGACTACTTGGATTTGAAACAGAAAGCCTGGCTGTATATGCATGAGCTACTCCTTTCACCTTCCAGATCTTTGTGTGAGCCACTAAGACAGCCAGTTTTTAAATTGAGTAATACATTCTGCTTTTGCATTTACAGAAATCCTGACATTTTTCCATGTTACATGAGTATTCCTTAAGTTCCTAAGTGTTGATCAATATATTTATAGTAGCAGTTAACTCCTGTTTTAGAAATAATTCTACTCTCATAATCTATTTCCACCCATAATATTTGTACAATGTAACTGCACATTTATCAAAGTGGTTGCTGAGGGATACATTCAATAACTGGGTAAGACTTCTTTTTGGAAAAGTTTGCAAAGATATTTGTTAAAAGATGTGTTTTACAGTGTTACCTATGATGATTCAATAAAATAAAAATGCAAAATGAGCAAAAATCTCATTAATCTTGAATTGGTTACATAAATTATGATCAGCAGCAATAGGGTAAGTTAGGTCTGTATGTCCTGATCTGAAAACTCCTCTAAGATTACATAAAAAGCAAGGTATAGAAGAGTTTCATCATTCCACCTGGCTAAGTAAATTGTGTGTGTGGCTAAGTAAATTATGTGTGTGTGTGTGTTAATGTGCATTTATCCTGGTAGATAATCAAACCCTGTATCTGGAAAGTATTCTGAAAACAGTTGTTAGTCACGTATGGGATAACCTTAGGAGGATGGGATGGTTCACTCTGCATTGGCTATCTTTCTGTAATATCTGGATTTTCTATCCATGTACATTTCATGTCTTCCAAAAAAAATTCAAGTAGGATCATCTAGGCAGAAGGATTAGGAGCTATTTAAGCTTTCATTTTTCATAATTCTCCATATTAATCTGATTTATTTTAAGGAACATCAGAATGTCTTAAAACCAATTTACCATCACATAAATATGCAGCTAAAATGTTAGAGAAAACAAAGTCCCACTTCACATTTTTATTTGTTTCATGCTAAAATATCTGAAAAAATTTGCCATGATGTCAAGTGGAATCATAAAAAGGCTGTAGTAAGAAAAAGTATTTAGGGTAAGAGAATCAATAGTGGTAGGAAGGAAAAAATGCAGGTAGTGTGGTCATAGCAATCTCCCGGGATGCATTTGTCTTCAGTTATTTTAGCAACTGAGGGGCCTTTGAAATCTGCAGTCACTGATGAATTTTTCAGGGATGGAGAACTTGGGCTGTATTTCATTTCTGCTTTTGCTGTTTGTAGTTCACTTGATAGAGAAGCATTCTTTTCATCTTTGCTCATGTGTCTCGAGCTCTGGATATGATGACATATTTTCCTTTGTGTTTTTGCTCAAGGATCTATTGGATGATCTACACAGTCTAGGGGCTGGAGTGATGTGGTGGGAGTTAGAGAACAATCTGTTGTCAGTGAACACTGCTCACACCCGCTTCTTGGAAACACAAGGGGCCCTTGATCTCTGCTGAGAATTGGCTGCCTCAGTGCCTCCCCAGGTAAAGAGCTCTGGTCCTGAAGCTTGGAGGTGGGCAGCACCAGCAGCCTGTGTACCTGGCTGGCTGTGCCCCCCAGTGCCTGTGCCCACGAACCTGTCCCACTTCTCAGTGGGAGTTAACAGGAGGAAATCAACCTATTGGCACCTGTGGCGTTGGCGTGTCACCAACTTCTCAAGACACCTGTCCCCCTGAACAATTCCTGATGGCTGGTGTCACCTAGTGCCATTCTGCCACTGCTCTCAGGTATGCTAGCTTTGGGCTGGCAAGATAGGGGAATAGAGCAGTTCCTCATGGGTGACCTTCTTTGGGAAATGCCTCATTTCCTCCTGGTTAGAAGAAATCCCTAATCTGTTATGTCGGGAATTTTCTACCCCAGAAGCTAATTTTCTGTGAGTAGGCTCAGTATTTGTGGTTGACCCACTATGTGCAAAGCATGGTGCTTGGGGCTTCAGTGTCCAGGGTGGGGATATTGCTTGAGGTCTCATGTGGATGATGGGAGACTGGCAAGGAGAAGAAAGTGGTGGCAACTCCTCAGGGCCCTAAGAGTTCTGCTTTGACATCTTGGGCAGGCTGGCAGCCTGTCTGAGGGCGTGCTGAGGAGCTTCCCTGTCGCACGTGACAGAGGGTTACTCCTCTGACTTCCTGTTGTTGCCCTTAGTCAGTAAACCTTAAAAGTCACTCAAGGTTTTCCTGGGACTAACTTGTCCCTGGACTTCTGTTTCAGTTGATGGGCGTGGGGAGACATTTTAATTCAAATTCTCCAGCTAGGAATGAGCATATAGAGGACATTGCTAGTCATAAGCCAAGTGTGTTTATAAGCCAAGTGATGCCAGTGGTCACGGGCTACCCACCATTTCACCTACCTTGTTATGTGAATATCAGCATCATATCGCAGAGGGATCTGGAAGCTGACCGAGTTATCTGCCTCATTGTTCTCAGTGCTTTCACTGTGGAGACAAACATTAGGCAATATTTAAGAGAGAAATATCGTAAGAGCCATCCACCATCACGTCACCACTTCATTACATTTTACCTGAAGGCTTGGAAACTGGCAGAGGCCTGATTCTGAAGGTTTTGAAGATTGAAGTCGAAGTTAATAGTGAAAGTCACCTATATACAAAATTAAAAGTCATCAATTTATGATACTTAGTACTCAGTGGCCAATGTGATGGAAAATTTTCCCACAAAGTAAGCTCACTGAAATTTGATTCTGAATTTTATTTACCTTAAGCTTTCAAATCTTTGTTCCCCTTCTTTAGCATGCCTCACCTTTAGAATTAAAAGGCTTCACTTTCAGCTGCACACATGTCATCCCATTGCTGGCACATGCACTTGTCTGAGCTTGAAAGTGTTGTACTGATGTGAAGTTTGCATACCAGGGTACACAACTGATACCTGTGACTGTGTGTATAGCACCTTGACCAGGGTGGGTCCACATATTCAGGAAATGAGAACTTTCCACATTGTATGTGCTTTTGGAATGCCTGGGGAGACTACTACCACTTCTGTTAATAACGTAAAGAAAATGTTCAGATATTTATAAGCTTCCTCTAAGTATCCTCTAAGTATGCAGCCAGTTATTCTGTGGTGCCTATCAGACGGTGTCTCAGAAGGAAGAGGGTATGTGGTGCATGAACATGAGTGCCGAGAAGGGGCCGGCATGGAGCTGAGGATGAAGTGCGATTGTACCTGCTGACTCTTCTTTAAAGCGGGGTAGCCTACACTGCAGGTAACAGACTTCTGAGGGGACGCAACCTGGCATGTCACTTCTGTCCCATCAGCCTGAAAGAGAACAAGGAAAGATCAGTTAGTATATATAGTGTGTGTGTGCATGCATGTGCATATAGGCTGAAGGATGTAAAAACCACATGGACATTTTAGCAGTAAGGTTGGTTCACACTGAAATAATTTATTGCCCCCCAGACTTGAAAATCTTGTGTTGTCCAGGTGGCTAATATACTATTTTTATTGCCAAGCTGGAAAGGTCAAATACTAGACCTTTTCCTCAGAAGTAAGTCATAGTACTTATATTTCAGAAGCACAAAATATGTTTAATCTAATATTTAGAAATGCTGTCTTTAATACATATCTTTCTCCCAATATATTTAAGTTTTTGTTTCAAGAGAAAAAACAAGGTCATATGTTGGCATTTGTCTGTACTTTAAATGATTTAAAGAATCTTTTTAAGTTTAGTTTTCCTCATGTTTTTCTCTCGAAAATAAGTTGTCCTTTGGCACAGAAATTTCAACATTAAAGTCACAACAGGTTTAGAACACTAAATTCACATAGATTTTAAACTGGAATAAACTGTTTTTAAATCCTTTTCACAAGTAGTGGATTTGGAAAGTCTCAGCTTTTCCTCCTGTCCTTTCCATTGCTTGGTGGCACTGGAGGGATGGAGGTGGGGGAGGTGAGGCGGGGGGCATTCCTGGCTGAGTGTGTTCCTGGAATAGTGATCAAGTCAACATGATTAACCGCCCTCGCTGGAATGCATCGTCTGGGCGGCCTGAGACCTGTGGTTACAGAGCTTGGGCGGAGCTGTGCGACTCTGATCTCTCCGAGCAAGTGCAGCTGGAAGCGTCTGCGCGCACCACGCAGCCTCACCGCACAGCTGGCTCGAAAAGAGTTACAGCACTGGCGGCTGCAGCTGCCCATTCTCGGAGCAAAGGAAAACCTGACCCAAGCTGGGCAGCAGAACGGTCTGGATACAGAGCCAGGCTGTGCTCTCCTGCAGTTTAACTAGCTGGGAGCCACAAAGTTAGCACTGATAGCACTGTAGGCTAAGACGATTCATCAGACAACCCAGAGGACGTGGAGGGTGGAGGACAGGCAGATGGTAACTGACAAGGAGTAGGAAACGAAAGCAGTAAGCATGGGGTGTCATCACGTACCGGCATGGACCAGGAGGCAAAAAACAAGTTTTCTGAAAAATCAACAACAATTGCAGTGTTGTATGCACTTTCCTGTTTGTTTTTCAATGTTACTGAAAAAGTTAACCTTTTGTTTTGGTTCCTGACAATAAAGGGTTGTTCTCTGTTAAAAGGAAAGAGGGAAAAAAAAGTCATTAAGGTAAAAAAAAAAAAGGTGAGGATTCAAATACTTCACTCATTAAAAAAAAAACTCTTTAGATTTTTGTGGAAGACTGAGAAAATTGCATAATTATCAACTGTCTTCATAGTAAATTGATACTGACAAGTAAATGTTACTGGGTTTTCTTCTTTGTTGCTTTTAATTACATTGCAAGGAAAGGAAAAAGGGTTTTACATTTCTTATGGATGGTAGAAATTGAAATTTGGACTTTAAAGGTTTTTACTTCTTAAGACTGTCTCTTAAAAAGTTATAAACAGTCATCTGAATAAAGTAATGTAATGTGTCTTTTATTTCTACATTTTATACTGAGCTTTAAAGTGAGACTTACTGAGCAGCTGGCAGCTGTTGGACATCAAGAACTAGATCAGAGATGCAAACTCCATCCTCACCACAGTCTTTATGGAAAGGAATCTGTAGGAAAGGAAAAACAATCCCAGACATTTGCTTTTGAGTTATAAAAGCAAACTGTGGAAGAATACTATATGTATTTTTCCATTTATATGAAGTTCAGAACCATCAAAACTAAACAGTGTCTTAAGAATATATATACATGTTTAGCAATATCAGAAAGAAAAGCATTGAGAAATGTAAAATTCAAGATAAAGACTGCCTGGGGGAGCACCATGATGGGGTAGCAAGTGACACCCAGAACATCACAGGTATTGGGAATGTTTTATTTTCTAAGTAGGTGGTGAACACAGGTATTTGCTTAACTGTTATTTATTTCCTCAACAAATCTGTGCTGAGCACCTGTGGTGGCCCAGACACTGCTCCCACGGGTGGGAATAGAGTAGTGAATAGACAGAAATCCTTGCCTCCTTGGGACTCGCTGGCTGCTGAACCTGACTATTTCATTTAGAAAATTAGCAACTGAAAGGCTATGTCTTACATTTCTTCCAAACACTAATGCAGGGACTATGAACCTTTGTTAGCCAGTCTGAACGCCAGGAAGGGCAAACCACACTTACACTGAAGACCTTGGCAGTCTCCGAATAGGCTTCAAGGGCGGGGCTGGTGCCAGGGTTTTCCAGACTGATGTTCACACACACATGCAAAGAGCTGACAACATCAGAGGGCTCCTAAACACAGACACACAGAGTCAGTTTATTTGGCACGGTGCTTCAAAAATAGACAGTGACCGCAAATGTGTTCACAGTTCAGAACACAGTCCAATCTCAATTATGTAGGACATCCTCGTTTTGAATTCTCAGGACTCTTGCTTCTCGTCTTCTGTCCTAATTCCTCTCATAGCCTCTCTACTATGAAGAAACTTAGAGACCTGGTTCAGCAAAAATCTGAAGCAGCAATTCTTGGCTAAACTCATCAGTAATCTCATTATTCACACTTAAGTAACTGTAAATACTTAAGAGGATATACCCAGTTTTAATTCTCAGAAGCCCCTCCCCCTTCATCACTACCTGGCTATTGGGTTTTTGGCTACAACCCTCCAATTCCTATGGCCAAGACTTAAACAGCCCTGGTGTCCCGACCCAACCTTTGGGAGGAAATGCCATGACCTAGAAGGGAAGGTGCTCAGGGCTGGCAGAAAATGCACGAGATGACTCCTTCCTTGGTCAGAACCTAACTCTGCCCACAGGTCCAGGTACAGGTGATTCCCACATCTGAAACCAAGCTCCCCACTCTGGCCCTGGCTGACGGATGGAAGCTGCACTGCTTCTTGCACATATATGATGAGGCAGTGTCACTCACTCAAGTCATTTAAGCCCATGCTACCCAGCTACAGGTACAACTTCTCCATTTGCCTTAAATGGGGTTGGGGGCGGGGGTTGCAGTGTGCCAAGAGGCACGGGCCGCTTCCAGTTTTTGAGGCTTCCTATCTATTGAAAAATGTAAAAATGCCCAAACGGGGTGGCAAGGGTCACGGAGCAGTCTTCTTACAAACATCTTGCCAGTTCTTGTCAGGAAAGAACAATATTCTTACAAATGATAAGCTCTAAAAAGCAAATTTGCCTATTCCTAACAAGTGGTATTTTCATTATCACTTGGTCCATTTGCAGGCAGGGCTTACTCTATCTTGAGCCCTTTGGGGGGCATGGCTACCAGGTGGCTTCTTGATGAGAAGCTTCCTCAGCTGGCTACAGGGCTGGCACGGAGGATGAACTTGAGAGCAGGTATTGAGATAGGTATTGCGTAGAGTAGGTATGGTGTGTTAACTCAACAGTACTGACCAAGATAACATACACCTGAAACCTTCACAAGTATACACGAGAGTGAACAGGATATATATATTTGAACTACAGCCTGGCTGACTTCACTCCCCACAATGGATTCAATTTAATTTGAGCCACCATTTAGCACACAGATAGGAAAGAATGAAAGCTGACTCTTGTTCCTTTAAAGAACCTGTATAATTGGCACCTAACAACAAAAAAGGCCCAGGCCTTCATAAACAAGATACTTTCAATTTGAACAAAAAACATATGAACTGATTTTAATTCATCTAAACATTATGTTTTTCTCACTTTTTTACTTAGTGTTTGTTGGAATGTGATCTCTGTACTATCCATCTACGTCAGAAATACCTAGGGGTGCCTCTTCAATCTGCATAATCCTTGGTCCTTCAAACCCAAATTTCTGTTGGTGAGGACCCAGAACACACATTTTATAAAAGTTCCCTCGGCAATTATTATACATTTTAAACTCTGAGAAACATATTCTAGGAAAGTTGTTAAGCAGCTCTTCAAGAAATAGAAAGTGCCATTATGTGGTTTCGAGGGGGAAATAAAACTTATAAAATAAATTTTCTGTTGGAAGATTTTCCCTGAGAAGCATTTTTCCTATTTTCAAGATCTTCAAAATCCACAAGAACTATAGTAATTAGGGCATAAGATTAGAGTAAATATTTTTTTACCTCATAATCTCCCATCCTTCACCTATATTGATTTAACTCTAACAGTCAAGACTACATTTGGAATTTTCCTTTTGAATAGCTTAAAAATGAATACAATTTTTTCTCTGATAGGAAAATGGCAAAATAAATGTTACTGTCAACTAAAAGTTGTCCCTGTTTAACATTTAAGAAAGCACTGTCTTTGATTTCTTTAAGAATCTTATTTTTAGCCCATTGTCATCCCAAATAAAACTGAATGCTACTACCTTATGTAATAGTTGAATGTGATCATATATATATATTAACATATAGGAAATAAGATTCCCTGTTCATTGAATTAAATGATGAAAGCATTAATTAGAAGGGCAAGCATTTTCTCATAAGCTTCCATTTTAGACTTTGACCATTCATTAGTCTTTAAGAAGAAATGAGAGGAGAAGGAATGACTGAGGTCTCACCTGTATGTGGATGATGTACTCAGAGCAGCTCTGTGCTTGATTTACTACCATATTCTTCTGCAGGAACCTTTCATCATTTTCCTTAAATAAACCCCTGGAGGTGACTCTGGATGAATATTGGTCTGCATCAATTGTGATAGTATATAAAATGGCTATAATACAAATAATAGAGATGTTACTACAAATGACCTTATAAGGAAAAAGCACCCTTGCTTTATCATGTCTTATTGTGTGAAGTCTCTGACTTCAAGAAAACATAAAAACAATCTTTACATTGATGGATTGAGAGCTGTGGGTAGCCCTTGACATTTGTGATTTTAGCTCTGGCATGATGTAGGTGACTGTGGATACAGAGAAATGTGATTCAAACAAACATGGCTTAAAACAGTGGAAAGGAAAGTGGACTTGCCACCAGGAAATCTACTGAATGAACTTGGTCACTCAAACGTCGGTTACATCATCCATAACACGGTGATAGGAAAAGGAAAGAAGCAGTTATTATGTGCCTATAATTGAATACATTCATGTATAGAAGGTAGTAGTTATCCTACTTTTCAGATAATGAACAGAGTAAAAGAGGAAAAATAATTCATCTCAGTTCACATGGATGGGCATGGCCAAAAATAAAATTTGGGTGATTTTGAAATGAGAGCTCATTTTCTTTCTGTTTCTATGCAGTGGTGAGGATTAACTATGATTTGAGGACTAAGTGGGATACTTCAAGGGAAAATGTGTAGTGCCTGGCATATTCTGTATGCTTACACAGGAAGGTATGTAACATGATAGTAAAAGTTTTTAATCAGACAGGCTTAGTTTTAATTCTAATCCACCGTTTATGAGCTATATGACTTTTAGGCAATTTGCTTAACCTCTCTGAAGCTCCATTTCTTCATCTATAATCAGACTAACCCAGAGAAATGGAAACGAAAACTATCAGAACCTTCAACTAGTCTGCTGGCTGCATATCCAAAACCGAGAGAGACCTGCTGATATTTGTAGCATCAACTGTGTTATTTGGAGTGACTCTTATTTTACTACTTTCAATATGTAGAACATTAATTATACCTGTTACCTTTAAAATATCTATTAGAGATCTGTATGATTTTTCTTGTTCCAATGACTTAATGAAGTTAATGAAGATAGACAGAATATAAGAGAACCAAATACACTAAAAATTAGCTGTGAAAATAACACACAGGAAATATAATAGCCAGGAGGTGATGGTAGCTAGGACAAACTGCACATGTAATACTGTTTCATATTTTTAAAGTAGCTTGGTAAAAATGATACACAGTCATTAATTTTTTATGTTATTAACTTTAAATTGGAATGCGCATGATACAATAAATAATAGAAACCATATACTTTATAAATTCACTTTTCAAAGATGTGAAGATGGGATTCATGTCTTACATACCATCACTGCCAGCAATTATGTGACAAATACTCATGACTGGCTTGTCTGTGAACCTGAAGACATGAAGGGAAAGGATTCATAGGGAAAGGTGCTCAATAGCAAGAAAGCCCAGAGATGCAAGCTAGTGAGTTGAAGGGAAGGAAATTCTCTGAAAGCAGAGAAACCCTTTTCAGTGTACAGCAACAGCAGATGTGAAAAAATCAAAAAGTGCAATGTGCATGAGACAAATACATGCTTCAGGGCCAGGAAAGCTACCCAGCCTATCACTTCTGCCAACTAATATATTTTCCAAATTAATCCTATAGCCTTACCAGCCACATAGTGTTCTTTTCTCAGCTTTATTGATATATAATTGACATTAAATACTGTGTAAGTTTAAGGTATACATTTCAGTTATTTTATATACATAAATATTGTGATCACTGTAATAAGGTTAGTTAACACATCCATCACCTCACAGAACAATTTTTTGTGTGTATGACGAGAACTTTTAAAATCAATTCTCTTAGCAACTTTCAAATACACAATACAGTATTGTTAACTACAGTCACCATGCTGTACACCCAGCCACTTAATGCTGACATAGTAATGTTGTTTGACTCAACTCTCAGGGCTACTCAAGTGGACATGCTACAAGGCAGGTCTGTGAGATGTGCTACTCAGAGTTGGGTCAATGTTTCAACCCCTGAAATGAAAAATGCTAGGTAAACATGAAAAGCAGGAAAATATGGAAAGCGTGCCAAGATGTTAATTTGAACTTCTATTTTGTATTTCTAACCTAGGTACTCCTTGGCATGAATCATGACAAATAACCTGCCTCTATCTGTTCATCTTTAAGTTAGTTTCTTTGTTTACAATTAAGGAAATACCTACAGGAACTACAGGTTTCTGAAATTTAAAGCCAAAATCTGATGCAAAGGGGATTAGGATCTGTAAGACAGCAGCAAATGAAGGAAGGTAGCATATACTCAAGGGCTAAATCAGTTGCTACCCATTGAGGGAGCATGAGAGATGAAGTGGTCAGAAAAGCCTTCAGATCCTCACCAGACCCTGAAAGATGACTCAGCTCGTCCAAGAGAGAGATGACAACAATTCCTGCCAGCATTTGCCCCCAGTTTTCCTCACTCTCTCCTGTTGATAGGACATTTTTCAGACTCTTACTAGTTTCTCTGGATTATTTAGAAAATGCAAAACACTGGGCTTAAGTTATATATTGTTTTATATTTACTCTCTCATTATTCCATGCTTATTAATTCCTCAAGAAGAGGAACAATATTTGTACTTGTACTAAACACACCCTGTCTCTATCATGTGATAGCCAACATATGGTATATTCATTTAATATGGGCTGTAGTCCAGCATAATCTGTATGCATCCAAGGTTTTAAGTAAGGAAACTTTGGGTACATGAAACTTGAAGGACCAAGTCAGGAAAGCCCAGGATAATGTCATAGAGATTACATTTCCTACAGCAGAATGTTACCCTCTACAGAAGAGATCTAGAAGATCTGAGTAAACCTTCCATGCCTAATTAGCCATTCTCAGGTAACTTCAGTGTGTGGCAATTCAAATGTTTCTAAAATGTTCACTTCTTTTAGTCCACAAATCCAAAGTATAGCTTATATTTAGGACTAAAACCTTACAAGCAAAACTGTCACCATACAGATTATTTCAGGCCTACTCACCCACTTGATTATTTTGTTTAGTAGGTCTAAACTTGGCACTGAAGCAGAGTTTGAGGTTTATCTCAGCATTCTTGTTGAACAAAGTGATTTTATCTGGTGTGAATGAAGCATCCACAGATACATTAGCAATACTCTGTGCCCTGAAAGATGTAAATGGAAACAGATCACTGGATGTTATTGCCCAATGCACATACTGTAGCGTTTACCGCAACCCATGCCAGTTTTTTAATGGTATGTTACTCTTAAGTGATTTAAACTGACATTGTTTAGTAAATGCACTTTGATTTTTCAGTCTTAAATATTATCCCGGAATTTTATTTTTTCCACATTAAAGTTTCATTGAAAACAATGCATTTCCTCCTTCAAAAGCACAAGTGAGATATTGTAAATAGTTTCATTAAGTTCAGAAACAATATCATATATAATGTTTTTCTGTTCTTGGTGTATTTGGACATTTAAAGCACATTTTCCAACAGAGACATATGAATGAATGGCTCAACTATATTTGCTTGTGTACTCTTGAATGTACTCTCAATTTCTTTTTACTTTCTCACCAGTCCAATTCATTTTTGGCCTTGAATCACATAGCCCTTGAATCCCTTATTGTTTCCCACTGCTCATCAACTCCTACTGAGGTCAGTGAGGTCAGCAAAACCTAACCTAAACCTAAACAATGGCTTCTTGCTTATGACTAATCATTTCAAAAGATACTTTATAGCCATATGAGAAGTTACACTTTACTTGTGTGGTCTGGGTGTTAAGTATTTTTACGGCTTCCTCATGAGGCTCCCTTTCTGCCAGCTGAGGCCATTTGGAAGATAATATTCAGAAATTCTGGGTACCATTTCAAAGATTTGTCTCTTCTATGCACTTTTCTGCTCACCATACAGAGAAGAGAAACTTGGTTCTAATGCTTAGCAAATATCTTTTTTTTTCCTCCATGATGAAAAACATATTCCTTCCTTTATGCAAACCATGACACATAAATGTCCTAGAGTTTTCTAAAATGGGTGGAGCATTACCACAATTTCAGCACAGCCATCTGGTATACTTAGCAGGTCAGTTTTGGGTTAGCTAGTTTGCGTGTGGTTCATGGACTCACCACAGCTGAACGACTTGTCCAAAGGCACCAACAGACACATCGGTAATGGAATCCCCATTTAAATCTCCATAGCCATCCAAGGATCTCCCAAAGTACTGGAGATGGCTACTAAAGGCTCCATCAGATCCCAAGATTTTCTGAAAGGACAAGTTCGACATGAAATTATAGTGCACAACAACCAAGACAGATAAAAGGCAGGTTCTACATTGCATTGTCATAATCTCTAGAGTGCCATTTCTCAGGCTGTATTATTCTCCAGAAAATTCCATTGATCTTTCATTGGAGCCACATTTTCATGAAATGAATTTTAACATAAAATCACAAATTAGCACAAAGCAGTGAAACATCAGTGAACTGGGCAGGAATTGATGTAAGTTCAGGTTCTAATTCCTCTCTAAGTCTACTTCCTTCTCATTGAGGCCTTTTTGGTCACCCTTTCAAATACCTGATATCTCCTACCCCTAAAAATTTATTCCCTGTCTTAGATTTACAAAATTCCTTATCATTTATTACTATCTATAACACGTTATTTTATTGATCTTACTTTCACTCTGCCTCTTCTACAAGAATGTAAGATGCGTGGAAGAGCAGAATTTTGTGTCCTTTTCATTTCATCATCCCCAAAGTCTAGAAAGTGCTTGATGTACAGTAGAGGCTCACAAAATATTTGTTGAAGAGGGATGGGATGGATGGTCTGCATCAAACTCTCTAGCTGTAACATGATGATATATGCAAATACATCGCCATGAAACTCATGGATTACCTGAGAATACCTTCTGCGAATGGTGCTCCCGTGACCATTATAGATGTACACAGCCCCAGAGTTGTGATTTTCCAAAGGTGAACCAATTATCACGTCATTAAAGCCATCCATGTTGATGTCTGAAAGAGCTGCAATTGCTGAGCCAAATCGAGCATTTTCAATACCCTTGGGGCCATCAAGAAATTGGTGCCAATTCAAAATGCCCTTGCAAAGCAGAAAAAAGGATGATTAAAGCAAACCTCTAACTTTTACAACTAAAATTCACAGTAAATAATGCCCAAACCAATCAGCAAACTGTTAAAAGTAGACAGGGTTTTAAACCTTGAATTCTAAAACAATCTCTATTTAGAATGAGAATTACAACTAAGAATTTTAGTAAGGTCATAGGATACTGGCTCATAAGTCAAGGTGAGAGGAGGCAATTCTCTGTACTGTGGCTGCACAACCTACAAGAGAGTGTCCATTTCTTTGTCTCCCTTTTACCTCAATAATAATATCTTCTACTCGTTTCCATACCATTTGATTAAAAAATTTCTGGTGAAAATCTACTAATATCTTGAATAAAATTAAGGTAAAGACCTAATAAAATAGAACACAGTATCTTAATTTAGACCTTTACTTAAAAATCACAAACAGTAGCATAATTATAATGGTATAGGAAGTGGAAAATGAGTTTGTTAATCTCTAAAAACAGTATCTGCCCAAAGATATTTCCTTATGAAAGACAATTGTTGTTTTGAAATGAAAAATAGAAATATTTCATGACTTCCCAAGCATTGCTCCTCAATCATGAAACCAGATCAGTGTTGATATTTTTCTCCTCTATAACAATCTTATGGAAATCAATTTGTTACTGAGTTTGATAAAATATTAGGAGATTTTTTCCATCTTCAACAATTAATGATAATTCAGAATTTTTAACAAGCAAGAAACATTCAAGAAACTGGGGATTTTAAAAATTTTCAAACAAGTAGATACATCCTTTTATTACTGAATATCAATTATATGTTCTTTATATGTTTCTGTTCAAGGGCTAATTTTTACATTAATTTAATAAATATAGTAGGATAAAAGTATCACAACAGCTGAACATAATATTTATTATATTAATATGAACTTCTCTTTTTCCATCCTTTCCCTAACAGTCATCTGTCTATGTCAACTTGTGCCTTTAACTCTGGTTTTCTTTTCAGTCACAGGGACTTTATGCACATGGATTTAGGAAGTTCAGTCTATAAATTGCAAAATTGTGCTTTTCCATGTCAGAGTATGCTCAGTTTTATGTGCAAGGACTAGGAATTCCAAGAATTGGATATACACCTAAATAATGTAGAAAGCATCCAGGATTATATGAAAGTTTCCAAAATATCTGATACAATTTGTCTTTTTCACTGTAAAATGTAAAGATAGTTTTCCATTTTATTATCTCATTACAGCAAACAAGAGGAATTGAGAGAGATTCTTGGGAAATACACAGATGTTTGTGTGTGTATTTCAAAAATGATGTGCATTTATAATGACTTTATATAACGGAATATATATTCAAAGATCTCGCATGGAAAATGGCAGAGCACTGTCCTCTAAGCTCTAGGTTATGTTTTTTAATGTGATTTTTAAAATTATAAGCTAATGGTGACAACCTTAAAAATCATCAATAATAATATATTTTCTTTATTCTGCAAAACTGATGATTAACTTTTATTTACCAGTACTGAAGCAAATTAAACTGTCAATTTAATATTTTTTTTTACCTTTGTGATAGTAAACAGGTAGACTCTTCCTTCCTCTTTCTTTAAGTCATTCATGTACATTGGTGCACCTACCAAGAGCACATCTGTAATAGTGTCTTTGTCCACATCAACTGAACACAGCACGCTACCAAAATAGGAGCCAATCTGGAGTAAGAAAGCATATTAACCTTAGGATTCCTAGGATTCATGCACTCATAATATTGCACTGAACTTTTATTTACTCAATCAACAACAAAACCTGAGTATACCTCTAAGGCACTAGGAACATAAAGATGGATAACACAATCCCTTCTCTTAAGTTGTGTTACAATCTCACACTTGGTTCTTAAACCTTAGTAGGCATAAAGATCACCAAGAAGGTATCTATAAAATAAAAATTCCTGAGCCCAGGTTCCAGAGATTCTGATGCAATGTCTAGGGTGCGATCCAGAAAACAGTATCTTAAATAAGCATTCCAGGTGTTTCTGATGCTGGTGGATCAAAGAGCACACTTAAAAGAGAAACACTTAGAAGGGCTGTAAGGTGTGTTATAGAGAAAAGCAGGAGGCGGGAGGTGAAAGAAGTAATTGCCCTTCCATGGGGAAGTATATGAGAGGCAAGTCTTAAAGGCTGTATGATTGGAGTGCAGGGGAGTCAGGAAAGCTTAGAAAGATTAAGAATTATTTGAATTGCGTCTTAAAACATGACACATTTTCAGAGAGGGGAAAAAGATGGTGGCATGAGAAGTGAGACAGAAACCTCCTACCAAAACCACATGTAACACAAAAATACAGCAAATAAAACTAATCCTGAAAGAACTACCCGAAAACTGCAGAACAGACTGCCTACACCTGAGGAAAAGAGAAGACCTCATAGAAAAGGGTAAAGTACCAAAGCTGCGATTGGTGGGATGCAAGCCCTCCCTCCACCCCATCTCACTAGCAGGAGGAAGAGAAACAGAGTGGGGAGTAGAAGCCCAGTATTGATGAACACTCAGCCCTGGAGATCTGCTCTGGGAGCACAAAACCACATGACATGGTGCTCTGGAGATGAGTGGGGTTGGAAAGCAAAGACAGGTAGAATACTCACGAGACTGACATTCCACACATTTGCAGAAAACAGGTATGCACAACCAGTCCCTCTGGGACAAAAGAAAGGCAGGCAATTTGAAAGACTTCCCAACAGTGAAAGGGGTGCTAAAAGGGCAAGGATTACACAGAGCTCACAGGAGAAAGGGCAGATTGACAAAAACATCCTGGTACACTCAGCCCAACAGGTTGGGAACTCTCAGGAGCATCAGACGCTCCATCCCCCTGGCTGGCAATGCAGCACGGAGGTCCCCACTGTGATACGCAGCCTGCTGCTCCTTCCTCCCAGCAGGCACCAGTCTGTACACCTGCTGCCACAGCTGTTGTGCCACACCACCCAGAGGGTGGCCTCACCTATGGCAGCTATGGGGGCATAGAACAGAGGCCCCTCCCTGCACACTCAGCCCACTGGACCTGGCAGTAGAAGCAGGTACTACATCTGGGAAGCAAGAAAGAGATCTTTCTTCCCAACAGGTGCCTGTGCAGCTTGCTTGCAACCCCCACCATAGTTACAGGAGTCAGGCAGCTTCAGAGAGTAGAACTTCTGGGCACTAGAGGGTGCCACCAACACAAAGTTATTATTCCGTAGGAATCACAAAAAAAATGAAACAGCAAAAGAATTTTGTACAAACAAAAATACAGCAGAAGACACCAGAAAGAGGCCTAAGTGAAACTGAAATCACCAATCTTCTTGATAAAGATTTCAAAATAAAAATCATAAACATGCTCATGGAGCTACAGAAAAATATTAAAGATCTCAGGGAGGACTTCAAGAAAGAGAAAAAGCTTTGAAAAATACAGTAACTAAAATGAAACATGCAATGGAGGGATTTAAAAGTAGATTAGATAAGATAGAGGAGATGGTAAATGAAACAGAAATTAGAGAAAAGGAATACAAAGAAGTTGAGGCACAGAGACAAAAAAGAATCTCTAGGAATGAGAGAATAAGAGAATTGTGTGACCAATCCAAACAAAAAATATTCACATTATAGGGGTACCAGAAGAAGAGAAAGAAAAAGGGATAGAAAGTCTCCTTGAGGAAATAATTGCTGAAAACTTTCCCAATCTGGGGAATGAAATAATCTCTCAGGTCATGGAAGTGCAGAGATCTCCCAACACAAGGAACCTAGGAAGATAACACCAAGACATACAATAATTAAAATGGCAAAGATCAAGGACAAAGAGAGAGTATTAAAAGCAGCCAGAGAGAGAAAAAAGATTATGTACAAAGGAAAACCCATCAGCTATCATCAGACTTCTCAGCAGAAACCTTACAGGCCAGAAGAGATTGGCATGATATATTCAATGCAATGAAACAGAAGGGCCATGAACCAAGAATACTCTACCTGGTAAGATTATCATTTAAATTTGAAGCAGGGATTAAACAATTTCCAGATAAGCAAAAGTTGAGAGAATTTACTTCCCATAAACCATCTCTATGGTGTATTTTAAAGGGACTGCAATAGATGGAAGTGCCCCTAAGACTAAGTAGGGTATACTTAGTGTAACCAGAAGAAAAAAAAACACAGTAAAGGAAGTAGACAATTATTAAGCAACTGCAAAATTAAATCAACTATCTACGAAGTAAATCAAGGGATATACAAAGAGTACAGAATATGACACCTAATATATAAAGAGTGGAGGAAGAAGAAAGGAGAAAAAAAATAGACTGTATTTGAAACAGCATAATAAGTGAGTTAAGTTAGACTATTAGATAGTAAAGAAGTAGCCTTTGAACCTTTGGTAACCACAAACCTAAAGCCTGCAATGGCAATAAGTACATATCTATCAATAATCACCCTATATGTAAATGGTCTGAATGCACGAATCAAAAGACACAGGGTTACAGAATGGATAAAAAAACAAGACCCATCTATATGCTGCCTACAAGAGACTCATATCAAACCCAAAGATGTACAGAGAGTAAAAGTGAAGGAATGGAAAAAGATATTTTATGCAACTAATAGAGAGAAAAAGCAGAAGTAGCAGTACTTACATCAAACAAAATATATTTTAAAACAAAGAAAGTAACAAGAGAAAAAGAAGGACATTACGTAATGATAAACAGGCAGTCCAACAAGAGGATATAACCATTATAAATATCTATGCAACCAACAAAGGAGCACCTTAATATGTGAACCAAATAACAACAGAATTGAAGGAAGAAACAGAAATGCAATGCATTCATTTTAGGAGACTTTAACATACCACTCACTCCAAAATACAGATCAACTAGAGAGAAAATAAATAAGAAGACAGAAGCACTGAACATCACACTAGAACAGATGGACCTAACAGACATCTACAGAACAGTAGGATACACATTCTTCTCAAGTGTACACGGAATGTTTTCCAGAATAGATGACATATAAAGCCACAAAAGAGCCTCAGTAAATTTAAAAAGATTGAAATTCTGCCAATCAGCTTCTCAGACCACAAAGGTATAACTCTAGAAATAAATTATGCAAAAAAAAATCCACAAACGTGGAGGCTTAACAACAAGCTCCTAAATAATCAGTGGATCAATGACCAAATAAAAACAGAGATCAAGTAATATATGGAGACAAATGAAAACCACAACTCAACAGACCAAAATCTTTGGGATGCAGTAAAGAAAGTTCTAAGAGGGAAGTATATCACAATGCAGGCTTACCTCAAGAAAGAATGATCCCAAATGAACAGCCTAAAGTCACAATTAATGAAACTGGAAAAGGAAGAACAAATGAGGTGCAAAGTTAGTAGAAGGAGGGACATAATAAAGATCAGAGCAGAAATAAAGAAAATTGAGAAGAACACAACAACAGAAAGAATCAATGGAAGCAGGAGCTGGCTCTTCGAGCAAATAAACAAAATATATACACCACCAGCCAGGCTTATCAAGAATAAAAGAGAGTATACACATATAAACATAATCAGAAATGAGAAAGGATAAATTACTATGGACACCATGGAACTACAAAGAATTACTAGAGAATACTATGGAAAATTATATGCTAACAAATTGGATAACCTAGAAGAAATGGACAATTTTTAGAAAAATACAACCTTCTAAGACTGACCCAGGAAGAAACAAAAAATATGAACAAATCAATTACCAGCAATGAAATTGAATTGGTAATCAAAAAATTACCCAAGGACAAAACCCCCAAAACAGATGTCTTTATCACTGAATTTTATCAGACATACAGAGAAGTCCATATACCCATCCTCCTTAAAGTTTTCCAAAAAGTAGAAGAGGAGGGAATACTTCCAAACTCATTCTATGAGGCCAGCATCACTCTAATACCAAAACCAGGCAAAGACACCAGAAAAAAGAAAATTACAGGCAAATATTACTGATGAACATACATGCAAGAATCCTTAACCAAGTATTAGCAAACTGAATTCAAAAATACATCAAAAAGATCATCCATCATGATCAAGTGATATTTATTCCAGGGATGCAAGATGGTACAATATTAGAAAATCCATCAACATCATCCACCACATCAACAAAAAGAAGGACAAAAGTCACGTGATCATCTCAATAGATGCTGACAAGGCATTTGATAAAATTCAACATCTGTTTATGATAAAAATGCTCAACAAAATGGATATAGAGGGCAAGTACCTCAACATAATAAAGGCCATCTATGATAAACCCACAGCTAACATCATACTTAACAGCGAAAGCTAAAAGATTTTCCTCTAAGATAGGGAACAAGACAAGGATGCCACTCTCTCCACTTTTATTCAACATTGCACTGGAGGTCCTAGCCACAGCAGACAACACAAAGAAATAAAAGACATTCAGATTGGCAAGGAAGAAGTTAAATTGTCACTGTTTGTAGGTGACATGATATTGTACATAAAAAACCCTAAAGAATCCACCCCCAAACTACCAGAACTAATAACTGAATTCAGCAAAGTTGCAGGATACAGAATTAATACACAGAAATCTGTTGCATTCCTATATACTAATGATGAACTAGCAGAAACAGAAATCAGAAAAATAACTTCATTTACAATTGCATCAAAAAGAATAAAATACCTAGGAATAAACCTAACTAAGGGTGAAGACCTACACCCTGAAAACTACAAGACACTTATGAGGGAAATTAAAAAGACACCAATAAATGGAAATCTTGTCCTGTGCTCATGGACAGGAAGATTTAATATTGCCAAAATGGCCATCCTGCCTAAAGCAATCTACAGATTCAATGCAATCCCTATCAAAATACCAACAGCATTCCTCAATGAACTAGAAAAATAGTTCTAAAATTCATATGGAACCACAAAAGACCCCAAAAAGCCAAAGCAATCCTGAGAAGGAAGAACAAAGCTGAGGGATTATACTCCCTGACTTCAAGCTCTACTACAAAGCCACAGTAATCAAAACAATTTGGTACTCGCACAAGAACAGACTCATAGATGAATGGAAAAGAGTAGAGAGCCCAAATATAAACTCACACACATATATGGCCAATCAATATACAGTAAAGAAGCCATGGATATACAATGAGGAAATGACAGCTTCTTCAACAAATGGTGTTGGCAAAACTGGACAGCTACATGTAAGAGAATGAAACTGGATTATTGTCTAACTCTATACACAAAAGTAAACTTGAAATGGATCAAAGACCTGAATATAACTCATGAAACCATCAAATTCATAGAAGCAAACAGGCCAAAATCTCTTCAATATAAACATAAGCAACTTTTTTCTGAACACATTTCCTCAGGCAAGGGCAACAAGAGCAAAAATGAACAAATGGGACTACATCAAACTAAAAAGCTTCTGTACAACAAAGGACACCATCAGCAGAACAAAAAGGCATCCTACAGTATATATTTGTAAATGATTTATCCAATAAAGGATTAACATCCAAAATATATAAAGAGATCATATGCCTCAACACCCAAAAAACAACTAACCCAATTGAAAAATGGGAGAAGAATCTAAAAAGACACTTCTCCAAAGAAGAAATTCGATGGCCAACAGGCACATGAAAAGATGCTCCACATCGCTAATGATCAGGGAAATGCAAATTAAAACAACAATGAGATATCACCTCGCACCAGTTAAGATGGCCAACATCAAAAAGACAAGGAACAACAAATGCTGGTGAGGATGCAGAGAAAGGGGAACCCTCCTACACTGCTGGTGGAATGTAAATTAGTTCAACCATTGCGGAAAGCAATATGGAGGTTCCTCAAAAAACTAAAAATAGAAATACCAGTTGATTTGACCTCTACTCCTTGGAATTTACCTGAAGAAAACAAGATCCCTGATTCAAAAAGACATATGCACCCCTATGTTTATCATAGCATTTTTTACAATAGTCAAGATATGGAAGCAACCTAAGAGTCCATCAATAGATGAATGGATAAAGAAGATGTGGAACATAAAAACAATGGAATATTATTCAGCCATAAAAAGAAAACAAATCCTACTGTTTGCAATAACATGGATGGAAGTAGAGGGTATTATGCTCAGTGAAATAAGCCAGGCAGATAAAGACAAGTATCAAATGATTTCACTCATTTGTGGAGTAGAACAACAAAGCAAAACAGAAGGAACAAAACAGCAGCAGTCTCACAGACTCCAAGAAGGGACTAGTGGTTACCAAAGAGAAGGGATTGGGGATGGTGGGTGGGGAGGGAGGGAGAAGGGGATAAAGGGGCATTATGATTAGCACACATAATGTAGGTGGCTCACAGAGTAGACAGTATAGCATAGATAAGACAAGTAGTGACTCTATAGCATCTTACTATGTTGATGGACAGTGATTGCAATGGGGTGTTGGGGGGACTTGATAATATGGGTGAATGTAGTAACCACAATGTTACTCATGTAAAACCTTCATGAGATTGTATATCAATGATATCTCATTAAAAAAAAAAAGACCCATCTTCTAGGTGGAAAAAAGAGACAGCACAAGGGGTGATACTGTTCATGATCTGGGACAGAAAAGTAATTCCCAGATAGATTGGGATGGCAGAACTAGATGGAGATAAAGGGAAATAAGAGACTGGGAATTTGAATGTTCATCCCATTCAACCAATGTTTGATGTATGCCTATATGAATACCTCTTAAGGATTTGGAAAGTAATAAGAAATGATTCTTCCATACATTGTCAAGGTTTTACTCAAAATTAATGCACCCTTCTTTAAAATATTAAAAAAGGGGTAAAAGTATGTGACCATAGCTGGTTTGTGGTCAAGGATGTCAAAGACTCAGGTCTTCCTGTTCCTGGAAAACAGTGGGATAAGACTTAATCCCAGGGAGGAGAAATCTGTGGATAGCTGGGATTTCAGACTCAGGAATGACAATTTCTGTTGGTTGTCAGAGATCAGTTGTGCCCATTTCAAATATGTGCCAAACCAATGGGGCAAAACTGCCTAGTAAGGAAATAGGTACCTATCAGGTGGTCTTTGCATTAGTGGGCCATGAATGGGAGTCATCAGAGGTTCCAATTCCCAAACTGTCACAGTCAGAAGAAAGTGGCAGAGAGTTGCTTTACTTTTAGACATATCAAAGTGACAGGACATCTGACAGGCCCAGATGTAGCAGCTCAGTCTTCACAAAGTTATCATACTGCTTCCTTCTGCTCATTAATCTTCTTCTAGATCCCTGGCTCCTAGTAGAGGCTTGACTACAAAGCAGTGGTTAGGTGCCTGTCATCATGAATAAATAATGCCCATGCGTTATTAACCTAGGGAGTCAAAAATAGGGAGTTGAGATATAACCAAACAGCTCAGGCTTTGAGGCCACATGGGACTGGGGTTTAATGACAGCTTAACCCCATGAAAGTTATATGACCTTAGAAAAGTAGGTAAACTCATATAACCTGTTAAAAGGGATGGGGGATCTCAGTATTGTGAATATTTAAGGAATATTCAAGTAAGTGCAGATTACAGAGCCAGCCATAGGTTAAACACTCAATAAATGTTAGTTTCCATTTATACCAACATCCCACTCCCCACCTTCCGTAGCTGCCCTTATAATTAATTTCACCCATTAAACAATGGAATTTACCTGGTCACCTTTTTGGGCCTGAATAACTGTGACATTGCCATTCTCATTCACACTGTACAGCACTATCTGGCCAGTATAATTTGCCCGAGGAGCACCAGCCACAAAGTGGGTGCCCTTTTCAGTGGAAATTGCAGCCACAGAGTAACCTAGGAGAGAAGGAGTTACAGAGTAACTACTATTGAATATAGCCAGTTAGGCTTGCAGAGTTAGCAGAGATGACCAGAGGTCCTCTTTTGTTAGGTGGGATGCCCAGCTCCTAGTGCTCCTGAGCATCATTGAGGGCGTATCTCACTCTTTATAAGATGAGCTGCCCCTGCCCTTTGGTAGGCAACACTGCCCTGCAAAGGGTGGGACAGCTACTTACAAAGCTGACCCTAGGTCCTGGGTTGTCCCCATCAGCCACTCATGAACAAGGCACTCAACATGTATTTTGTGAATGAATAACTTAATGAATTAAAAAGGCAGTGTTGAACAGGTTTTAGCATCAGACAGTCCCAGATTCAAATCTGAATTGTCACTTACTACATGTTTACCTGGGCAAGTTATTAACCTCATGGGCTCACAAAGGTAAAATGGGGATAAAAATAATTCCCTCAAAGGGTTACTGGAAGAATTTAAATGTTTCCGTAGATAAAATAATCAGCTCAGGAACTGTCCCATAGTAGGTGCTCAAGATAGTTGGCTGTTTTTTATAGTAACAAAAAGACTAACTCTAAACTAGTATGACTACCACTTACTGTATTTGATTTTTGGAACTATTTCCACTTTGGAGAAACACAAACAGGTCCCAGGAATAACAACTGCTTGAACAGCGAGAAGAGACTAGCACGTATAATACAGCATTTCATTATGTAATTATAGGTTAAGACCTGACTGGCAAAGAGGCAATCTAAATATGTATAATAAAAAGAATCATTAGATGACAGTTCAAGGGCTTTGCTTTACTGATCCTGAGAGTCTACAAGGGAATAGTTTAAAGGAAGGAGACTTAAATTTGCTGAGCTAAATGCTGCTGTGCCTTACCTAAATATGAGCTGTGGTTTCTGTCTTGCAGAATTTGGTCAAAGGCTTGTTTAGGAAAGATCAAATGTCTGTGTGATGTCTGCTGGACAACAGTCCCACTCCAGCCATAAGCTCCTACTGCACCCAGCATCAGAACATCCTAAAATAATTGAAAAGTTATCATTGTTAAAACAAACCACCTGTAAAGCATAAGAACAAAGGGCAAGCAAAACACTGAAATAAATGGTCTAGATGTAAGGAAGAAAAACTAAGCGTGATGGAGTACAAAGTATATGAATGGATGCTGATACAGCTCTGCATTGTTTTGATCTATGTTATGCTGAAAAACAAGGCTTCCTGTGGGCTGTTACTTTGGGCTTTATTTAGTGATACATTTTACAGATAAATCTTCCCTGCAGTAAAGGAGTAACACACAGCCATCTTCAAGGTTCCATTCAAAGTCATATATCCACAAATGCTAAACGGTTGTGAGCCTTTACAAGGGAGTCACAACTGAGCCTCCAGTTTCACACATTCATAAGAAAAGCACACCCTCCAATATGAGGCTTGCTTGAGAGATGGGAAGTGCTGTGGAAGAGGAAGAGACAAGGGTGGTGCTGCCATCCCAGGCAGGCCCTGGGGCCCTTTTCTGGCCTCTTCTATTTTCAACCTTGTTCCTCTTTCCTCTTGACTCCAAAAAATGTTCTTCTGTCATCTACTTTCTATTCCATCTATTTGGAAATAGCACAGCTACAAAAGGCACCTAGAGCATGACATTCAATCTATTTTGGAAGGCAAATGGCCACTGTGAGCACCAGGGTGGGGTGGGGGGTGGGGGGTGGCAAGCAGGACAGGCTACTCTGCACTGACTCAATACCCAATCTGGATACTCAAAGCTATAAATCGCCACAGAAGGCAAGGCACGTCGCAATGGAATTCATTATTTTCAAGTTTTTGATCTTAGACCTTAGAAAATGCAAAAGACGCAATTTTGGATTGAAAAATACAAGCCATTAAAAAAATAGCAAATAGGGAAATGTTGAATCTCATTTTAAGGATAAGAGACCATGAAATTATGGGAATGATTGTTGCAAATCCAGAACTCTGAATATGGGGGTGCAGAAAGGGACTTCAAGTAATGCACAAAATCCTCAGGAAATTGTGTGCAAAATTCTCTGTGTGGGGGTTCATTTATGTTTTCTATGAGGGAAAAAGACCCATGACTTTTTTTTTTGTATCATTCATGTACAATTACAGGAGCAACATTACGGTTATTAGACTCTCCCTATTACCAAGTACCCACAACATACCCCATTACAGTCACTGCCCATCTGCGTAGTAAGATGCTATAGAATCACTACTTGTCTTCTCTGTTATACTGCCTTCCCCATGTTCCCCCACCCCTACATTAAGTGTGCTAATCATAATGCCCCTTTTGCCCCCTTATCCCTCCCTTCCCACTCATCCTCCCCAGTCCCTTCCACTTTGGTAACTGTTAGTTCATTCTTGGGTTCTGTGAGTCTGCTGCTGTTTTGTTCCTTCAGTTTTGGCTTTGTTCTTATATTCCACAGATGAGTGAAATCATTTGGTACTTGTCTTTCTCTGCCTGGCTTATTTCACTGAGCATAATACCCTCTAGCTCCATCCATGTTGTTGCAAATGGTAGGATTTGTTTTCTTCTTATGGCTGAATAATATTCAATTGTGTATATGTACCACATCTTCTTTATACATATATCTACTGATGGACACTTAGGTTGCTTTCATTTCTTTGCTATTGTAAACAGTGCTGCAATAAACATAGGGGTGCATATGTCTTTTTCAAACTGGGCTCCTGCATTCTTAGGGTAAATTCCTAGAAGTGGAGTTCCTGGGCCAAATGGTATTTCTATTTTCAGTTTTTTGAGGAACCTCCATACTGCTTTCCACAGGGGTTGAACTAATTTACATTGCCACCAGCAGTGTAGGAGGGTTCCCCTTTCTCCACATCCTCACCAACATTTGTTGTTGTTTGTCTTTTGGATGTTGGCCATCTTAACTGGTGCGAGGTGATATCTCATTGTGGTTTTAATTTGCATTTCTCTGATGATTAGCGATGTGGAGCATCTTTTCAGGTGCCTGTTGGCTATCTGAATTTCTTCTTTGGTGAAGTGTCTGTTCAGATCCTCTGCCCATTTTTTAATTGGCTTATTTCCTTTTTGTTTGTTGAGGTGTGTGAGCTCTTCATATAATTTGGATGTCAACCCCTTATCGGATATCTCATTTATGAATATATTCTCCCATACTGTAGGATGTCTTTTTGTTCTATTGATGGTGTCCTTTGCTGTACAGAAGCTTTTTAGTTGGATATAGTCCCACTTGTTCATTTTTGCTTTTGTTTCACTTGCCCAGGGAGATATGTTCATGAAGAAGTTGCTCATGTTTATGTCTAAGAGATTTTTGCCTTTTTTTTTCCTAAGACTTTTATGGTTCCATGACTTACATTCAGGTCTTTGATCCATTTTGAGTTTACTTTTGTGTATGGGATTAGACAATAATCCAGTTTCATTCTCTTACATGTAGCTGTCCAGTTTTGCCAACACCAGCTGTTGAAGAGGCTGTCATTTCCCCATTGTATATCCATGGTTCCTTTATCATATATTAATTGATCATATATGCTTGGGTTTATATCTGGGCTCTCTAGTCTGTTCCATTGAAGATCCACAACTTTTATGAGCATCTCTAATGAATAGAAGATCCAGAAAAGTTAGCACCTTCCATTCTAAAGAAAAAAGAAGCCATTCCCGGCCCTTTGTTTTATCAATCGAATCCTCTGAGTTCATATCGTTTCTGAAGTATTTCCTGATGTCATCTGTCTCTGTGTCTTCTTGCTACCCCACCCATATCCTCAGTAGAATTAAAATCAGAGGCCTGGAGATACAAGTTTCTGAGAAAGAAGGACAGACTTGCCTAAGTTAAGAGGAGTTCCCATCTCACATTTTACCTAACTCCTGACTTTTTCAACTATTCTCCATCTCTGCTCTTAGAAAAGAGATACTATGACAACTCAGAATTTAACAATAACAGTAAGGACAAGAGTTTGATTTTCTAAACAAACTATTCCAGTAGTTAATCGATTTAAAGGAAATTCCTGCAATGATAATACCCTGAATTAATATAGTGCCTGTCCCCTGGAGCTTTCTTGTATATTATCATTTTATATTATATTTCAAAGACTTTCTTGTATATTGTCATTTTTTTCCATTAAAAATCCCTATGAAATAGACAAGGGAAGGCATTATTAACCTTTGTTTTCTAGATGGCAAATCAGCAGCACAAAGAAACTAAATGGCTACGAGTAAAATCAGAACTGTTGATCATCAGATGGCTGTTCTTCCCAGTTTATGTATAAAGCTACTGCGCCCAGAGGCGGTAAGTCAAATGGCAGAATGGTTGGAAGGTATCTGATATACACACATTTTGAGGAGAGTAATCTGCGCTGAATCCCACTTGTGACATTTCCATCTGGAAGTTTTCTCCTCCTTGAACAGTACCTGGGAAATAGCAGTTTCAAAAATTAGATCACTGCCATCATTTTTTAAATCAAATTTTCAATCACAGGTACATACACTTGTGCACCCACGTGGGCACGCGCATGTACACACACACACACACACATACACACACACACACAAAAAAAATGTTCTGATGTTCACTCAAAAATATAGAACTGGAAAACTCTGGGAAGGAGAAATAATTAAATAAGTATTCTAACCAATATGGAAATCCACAATACTCCCCATGTTTGAAGTTGGCATTAATCCTGATTACAAATTACTGTATTTATTGTTATACTCATTGAGTTTTGATATCAAAAAACACACTCAACATAGTGAATGAGGTAAGATGAAGATTGAGGTGATGGTACTTTAAAAAAAAAATTATCACTGCTAACTAAGAAACTAACCAAATTTTTAGCTTTTCAATATTGGTCCTAATAATTGCACACATATCTCAGATGCAGTTGGAGGAACTAGGCAATTGACTTGTAATGAAGACTATGCTGAGAGATATCTGGGTTAGGCTTCAGATACCAGGATTCAAAGCTGAGTAGGAATTTTACCAATTGGGAAGTTTTTCCTAGTTTTACCTTATGTGCTTGCCTCTGAAACTAGCTCTATAAGACTCATTTTCCACATGGTGTGGTTAAAATGGTACATTTCACTAATATTCACAAAAAGAAAGCTAAATTCCTGGCCTGTCACATACAGAGAAGACAAAACATACCACAAGATACAGTCACTTGTTTAGAAGACATAATAATTGACACAGGATGAAAAAAGATTTTTTTTTAATAAAGTAGAACAAGGCTTGCCAAAATCCATAATAGCAGATAATACACAAAATCACTTCTAGTTAGCTTTTAGATTGCTTTGCAACTGTTCTTATTCATACAACCACCAACAAAAAAATATTGCCACAGGTAGCTGAATATGTTTGTATTATCTCAGGGCACACTAGGTTTTGATGATGATTTAACTAATTTAGAAGCAGCATGGGATGTTTAAGAACAATAAAATTCTTTGGATAGATCTTTCCAGTGAATGATCAGGAATCGAAAATATGACTAAGGAATGAATACTTAATTTATTATTGTCAGACCCAGCTTCTGAAGCAGTACCTAATATGTAGTAGGTGCTCAATAAAATACACTATTGCTGATAATTATTTGAGTTCACAATCAGGAACCAGGATTCGGGTATGTGGGCCTTACACCAACTAGGATGTGTTCCAATGCTCCATAGAGGGAGCTCTTAAACACGAGATATTTCTACACTGACTAGATCTTCCAAGACCATATAAATAAATTACTATAAATCTGGCAAATACAATGTTTCCTGGAAATCTGAACTATTAAAAATCTTCACTATTTGTTTCTAATTTTAGAAGTACATGTTTTATGATAAACAATTTTTCAGAAATTTAATAACAGTAAAAATGTATAACTTTTTATGATAAAAATCTTTACACAGTATAAAAAGGTAGAACTATTTACAATTATAATAGATATTACAGATATTACTAAATTACTCCTTAAGGTTATACAATTTATAACCTTATCAACAGTGCATGGCTTTTTAAAGCCCCGTAATCTCTCCAAGATTAAACATTGCTAATATTTTGTTATCTTTAGGAGCACTGTATTATTGATTTAATCTAGTTTTAAATAAAATCTAAATGATATTGGGAATATTCTCTTATCTTTATGGGCCATTTGTGTTTTACATTTTATAAAATACTTGTTCTTTATTTTTCTTACTGATTAGTAGTTCTTTTCATACAAAGTATACAAATTTATACTAGTAGAGCAAGAATACAGTAATAAAATCAAGAATTCTTAAAAAAGTTTTCAAAAGAAAATTCCTGAAAGATGGTGCTCTTTTACCTTCAATGCTGAAAATTTGTTCTCCTAATGTCCCAGCCTTTTCTAGTAGAGCTGTTTCATCAGACACATTGAAAAAGTATCTTTCTGTTGGAATACTGGCAATTGCTTTAATTTCTTTTATTAATTTTTTAGTATCAAGGGCATTTCTGTTTAAGTAACCAAGAACCTTGAAAACACAGGAAGAGGAAAACAAATCTCATTATTTTTATACTCCAATTTCCCTACTAACATTTTCTAAGCTACTTCTGAATATAATAAACCCTCTGGAGAAGTAAATCGACATCCCCTTAGTTGACAGCAATGATATTTAGCAAGCAGCAGACATAAAAAATTTTATTTTAAATAAAACTATGAGCAGCCAATGAGAAGATGTAGTATTGGGAAGTGATGTAATAAAGAAACATTTACGCATCAACTAAAAATAAAAAACAATTTAAAAAATCCACTTACTGCTATACCAAACCGTAGTATATTGTCGTTATTGCATTGATCAATCACAGCTTTCAACATTGAACCATCGTGTGATTCACCATCAGTTACAACCACCATTACTTTGGTAGCACCTGGTCTTCCACCAGCAACTGCTGCATAAGCGAAATCTCTGTGGCAGATAAAAGTAAAGACTCATGATCAAAATATGAAGTTAATATGTGGACCTCTGGTTAGAAATATAAGTATGAAACTAACTTCTTTGAGCATAACCTATTGTGACTTAGAATTTCTCCCTGCCAGGTCTGGTGATGTATTTACATTCTATGTGCGGCTTATAAAGAAACATAAAAATATAAATCTTGCTTCACGTTGAAAGTAATTTCCATGGTTTCTGTGGTGCGTATATGTGTGTTTACATCAGGAATCCTCAGAAGTTTCTTCTGATAAGAAAATTAAAGTCGTAAATAACTAATCAACATAGCAAAAATATTCATTTCTACTGTATATTTTACTCACTGGATCTGTATTAGTTTTTCAATACTAAATGGTTTTTTAAAAAGTAATAGATACACATGGTAAAAGAAATTCAGAGTATTTGGAAAGCTATAAAACAAAAATCTGACACCAATCTACCATTCCAAGGAAGTGACTATTATCACCTTATGTTTCCTTCTAGAAAATCTTTTACCTATGCATGGTCTACTCTTTAAGCTTTTATGCAAATAGGGGCATATCCTCTACAGTTGTTTTTTATATTGACAGAGATTTTTCCATATCACCACATATAAAGCTCTTCTTTTTCAATGGCTGCATAGTATTTCATCATTTGGAACCATAGTTTATTTAACATTTAGGCCCCATTATTGTACATTTAGGCCATTTTGAGTTTTATAAGTTATGCTGTAAAGAATGTCCACATGTATATATCTTGGCAGACTTTTCCAGATATATTAGTAGGATAAAGTCTTAGCAGTGAAATTACTTGGACAAAGGATTTATACATTTCAGATTTTGAAAAATAATGCCAAATTGCCCTTTAAAATTTTCACCAATTTATATTACCATCAGTGTACAAGCATGCAAGTTACTTCATCTCCTTTGCTGAACAATGATGACTATTAAACTCTTTTTAATAAGTTCATTTGGTAATTGAGAAATATGTAATTATTGTTTCAGTGCAATTTTTTCTTTTTGAAGGGATGGTGAGCAATTTTTATATATTCATTAGACATCTGTTTTTTTTTCTCTACAAACTTGATTTTTTTCTTTCTTTGCCCATTTTCCTTTGTGGTGTTCATCATTCTCCTGATTAGTAAGATCTCTGATAATAAGCAAAATTATCCTTTGTCATATATATATTAGTTCCTTCAGTTCATTAGACTTTTGAATTTTAGTGGTATTACTTCTGTACAGAAATTTTATATTTTCATATAGTCAAACCCACTAATTTTTGTGTGTCTTTGACATTTTATAGTAAAAGGACTACTTATCTCCAGGAACTCTTTAATCTCCCAAGTTTTCTAACAGTTCTTTAATAGTATCATTTTCTTAAGTTTAAATTTTTGGTTGAGTTGAAACTTATTTTGATTCAAGGACTAAGGCAGGCATTCAGCTTTATTTTGTTTGTAGACGGCTGGTCAGTTGTCCAACAAATTTTTTCTGTCCATTGGATTCTCTTTCTATGCAACTCCTTTAGGTTAACCACCCCTTCTTTAGATTAACTACCACATATATGATGAGACACCTCAAAATCTATATCTGTTTCCATTCATCCCTCTCATCTTCAAATTTATGTACTCAATGCTTGCTCAATATTTTTATCTGACTATACAAAAGGCACTTTAAAAAAAGTTCACAACTGAGAGTATCATTTTACTTCCTAAACTTCACCATATTCTATGTAACAGAGTGCAGAAATATAGAAAATATTTCTCAGTCAAATTTGAACTTCAGTGCTTACATTAAATACTTTTTGAGTGAATTGTGTTCTTTGTGACATGCAGTAGAGCTCATGTATAATTACAAGGTTGCTGAGGGTATAGAAACTGTGCCTCATTTCATTTTGATTTCCTGCAGGTCTCAGAGCAATAAATTGTAACCGTAGGTACCCAAAAAAATAAGATGAGAGGAAAATGCAATATTTACTGAAAGGGCTCAGAATTCTATTTGATGTAAAGAAACAGACCAAAAAAAAAAAGAGAGAGAGAAAGAGAAAAAAAGAAAAGCAGTTACATTCTAGAAGGTATGAATAAGAAAATTAGATGACTCTCTTAACAATGGAAAGACTCACTTGGGAAACAATGGTAAGACAAAGTTTTGAAAAGATGATGAAAGCCATACAAGTTCCATCTTAAGAGATGGTGGCTACTCTCTTTGAGAAAAAAGGTTGCCAGGTCCCCAGCCTCCTTCCAGGGAAAAATGCCACAGCCGTATTCCCTGTGGAAAACACAGGCCCTCTGCAGTTCCTCACTCCCAGTAGGCTATTTCCTGTCACTAAGTCTAGTTTACTAGATCAGGAAGGGCACTTCCCCTAATGGCAACTCACCTACTGACTAGCCAGCAAGCAGCTCATGAGATGGTGTGGCCCAAAAGACAACTTAATAGGCTGGTAAAGATTAACCAAACCAATCATATCTTGTCTTATAGGGAATCTGCTTTTGGGACCTAACGGGAGAGTCACCAGTTGACAGAAGTAGCAACTAGAATATATACCCCCAAAAAAGGAAGGGCAGATGTGATAGGAAGTTGAGAAACAGAAATGACAGGATGTGGTGACTAACCAGATGTGTGATCCAAGGAGGAGAAGAAAGAATAAAGAAAACAATCAAGTTCTTACTCTGCATGACTGGAGAAAAGGCAGTATAGCGTGACTCTAAATGGCAAAGTAATGAGAAAAGGCCGGGAGGAGAATAAAGCCAGTTCAGGGCATATTGAATTTGATAAGTGAGTCAACACTCCAAGTAAAGATACAGCATCAGCCATACCCGTGTGAACTTTGGGAGGGCTCAGGGTCGACAACACAGCCATGGGGTGACCCACCCGAGGCTGATGCTGATGCCATGAGAGTGGATACCATGCCTGAGAGCAAACAGCTATTAAAAAAAAAGGCTCTGTTTAGTGAAGAAAAAAATGCAAAAAGGAGTCAGTGAAGAGGCAAAGTTGTTGACAAAGAGTTGGCAGGGATTCCAGAACTTTGTGATGTCATGGGAACTGGGGCAGGAATAGCAATGCACGCTCATCATTATCAAATGTTCAGGGAAGTTACAGAAGATGGGGCTTGAGGCAGACCAGGGGGTTGCTGAGTGATTGATTAGGAGGGCTACATTTATCTGGTGGCAGAGCCACATTTCAAGGATGTGGAAAGACCAGGCATAGACACTGCTTTCCTGGAATTACGGTAGTGGAAGGAGGGCATGCACAAGATGAAAGAGGAGGAAGCAGGTTTAAAGGAAGGTGAGCTTATTGTTCTCATTTATTTTATAACAATAGGAGAGTGTTTAGCATTTTTGTAAAGACAGTATGATTAAAAAGAGAGTGAAGATGAAAGTCAGCAATGCTGAGAAAATAGAAAAACTGAGCTAAGGATTAGGAAAGTGCTGTGTGGTTGTAAAATTCACAGGCCTCAGATTGTGAAAACCAAAATAGACCCATTCAGCTCACTCTTCAGTCAGTAGCATTTAAGATTCTCTGGCCCTGATCAATTTGCATGAAGAGCTCCATTAGCTTAAGTTGTCTGTGGCCTTGACCAATATGAACAATTGCAGACTGCTTGAATTCCTATTTACCCTAACGTCTTCATTTACTTCATAAAAAATTTAAAAAGTCAAGTCATATTTTTATAGAAGTCTCAGAAATCGAAGATTTTTAAATTTAATTCCTCACTGCCTTCTCAAAGTGTTCCAGTTACAGAATGTTGGAACTTTTCTTCATTATTTCTGATTAAAGTGTGTTATCAGGTACATTATTTTTCTTTGCCTTTTCTTTCCTTTCTTCTTACTTACAAGCACTTTCTATTCTACCAAAATATTGGCTTAGTAGCATCATAACTTACCTTGCATATTGAATTGCTTTGAATGTGTTTGTGAGATCGCCACCATACTGGAATGTCTTAGATGTTGCTTCAATCATTTCAGCTTTGGTTTTAAAAGTATTCAGGTTAAACACAACTCGTGGATTATTGCCATATTGAATTAACCCCACCTTTAAGAGAGCATAAGTTTAGTAAGGGGCTGTCATTAAGTTCGATTTCAATGTAACCATTATAACCAAAATCAAAAGCTCACTTGGACTGGGCTGGTAGCTTAAGGGAGTCAGTTCTAACTTTGTTCTTAAGAATAGTTATTTCTTCTTTGTCAGAGGCTCTGTCAGTGACAAGAAACAGTACTGTGGATAGGCAAGATGGTGTGCCATCATGCATAATTAGGTTCTCAAGAGTAATAGTTATAGATTTTTAAGTATAATCAAATAGTTATAGACTAGCTAGTAATACACATTTTAAGCATGGCTGTATAATATTTCAATATGGATAAATACTAGAATAAATTATTAACAGAAAATTAAATTTATATAAATAAGTTTTCTAATTAACAATGGACATAACCATATAAACAATTATAACCAGTCATAGATGGAAGATAACATCTCATTATTTGAGGATAATTATAAAATAAAGAATTGGAGTTGAATACAGGGAAAACCACTGTTCTCATCAACACAATCAATCTGGATGTATTTTTTGTGCTCGATTTCCTTTAATCACAGACTTTAGCATCTCTGAAGAAAAGCTGCTATATGTGTATGTGGGCAGGAAGTTTCTGGCTTTCAAAGAAAATGCCAGTATGGAGAGTCTTATTTGAGAGCCCTGAGAGACAGAACAACTTCTGAACAAGATATCTGTGCACAGATCCTAATCCTCTAGCTTAGCAAGTCCAAACACTTCTGCTAACATCCTTACTCTCGGCACTGACATCATTCTCTAAGCCTAGGAGTAGGGGCCTCCAGAACAGGAAGTGGCAATGAGAGATCAGCGGCCCAAGGCTCTCTGAAGTAGAGGTAGTCTATAAGGAAGGTGGAAGGGCCAAAGGCTGGATTTCTGAATTCAATCAGCTACTTTTGCTAGGATGGCAGTTAACTAGGCACTGGGAAGATGGTAAAAAAAATGGTATTGCTGGACCTCTCTTTTAGGATAGGATGTAAGACTTGAGAAAGGGGAAAGGATCAAAAATAACTGTAGGGATTTCAAAGTCCAATCTGAGAGGAAGATGGTAGTGACTCCCATGACGGAGCCCCAGAACTTCTATGGGAGAAAGGGGAAGGCTGGATAGAAGATGTAAAGAAATGTGGTGCGTCAGAACTTACAGTTAGGCAAAATTTAGATTGTAAGAAAAGAGACTAAGTAAGACCACCTCTAGAGATGAAGAAGATACATTGGGACAGGAAGACAAGAAGAGGAAGGCCATGGATTCCATACAAGAGACTATTAAATAAAATAAGTCAAGTTATGAAGGCTATCCATTTAGAGATGAAAAAAATAAGCAGATCCCCCGGAAAACTTCTCTTAAAATGGGCCTTAACAGTGATGCTCTGTGGAAACCAGCATTATACAAAGTCTTATTTAACAGAAATTTCGGGTAAAAGCCCACAGTGAAACATGCAAAGTTTCTGCAGACCTTAATGTCTTCTTGGTATTGAAAAGCAATGTCAAGGGGGAGAACATTTTATAATTCTCTTATAAAAAAAAAGAAAGCAGGAAAGCAAATTTCACTACAGATAACTGCAGAGCATTTAAAGGACAATGTCCCAACTATTACTAGATGTTTGACTCTGGACCATCAGACGCAGCCCAAGAATGTACCTAGTAAATCTGTGAACCGGTCCCTGTTCACACCGGATCAGCATGATGCTACAACCAGAATGACCCATGAAATGGCACATCCAATAAGAAAGAAAGAGGTTCAGAACTTTTAAAATAAATGCTGTTCAGTTTTATAGAGGCATGAAGCTTCTGCTCTTGAGTGAGTTTTGGTTGCCCACCTCAAGAACATAGAAAAGCAGGTTAGACTCCTTCAGAGACAGCTATGCAAGATTATTGAAAACACGTGTCCTATGTAAAAATAGAAGGCTAGGTTAGAATATGACAAATGACTATAAAATAATGAATGGTAGAATTATGCTGTCTTGGGACTTATTTACAAAAAGCCCAGAATTTAAGGATAACTGTTTTACTTGCAAGGAATAAACAAGAGAAATTCATTATTAGTCCAAGTTAGCATAAAGAAAAGACATGTACTGGATTATAAAATGTATTGATAATCTATGAGTTAGAGGAGAATAAAAATAAGCAACTAAAGAGAATCAAAATGCTATGTCCCACATCCACGCCTGTGTCAGATAAGAAATCTAAACACAAAGACTAGCATTGGGTAAAGTCCTAGAATAAGTCAATGTAGTACAAGTTTCAATTAACATTCTACATTGCCATTAAGTGTATTTGATACAAGGAGTTGAGAAACCTGCATATGGAAAGTTAAGACCTCATATCTGACAGTATCTTCTCAGGAAGAAAGCCATGGGTTAGCGTGTGTATTATTGGTATCCATACCTGTGTCTTTGTGGGGCCTATATCCAGGCCTTGTACAAATTTTTCCAAGAAATTCTTTACTGCATCCCAGGGATAAATACTGTTTGATTCATCACACACAACCACAACATCTATGAGGGAAGGGCAGGCTATGTGGGAAAAGATGAGAGAAACAGAGTTCCATAAGTGATTCAAACTTCACAATAATGAGAATGAGACTTAAACCAAAGTGGCGTTGAGGGCTAGGGTGGCACTTGTTGATAAACTGCTCCCCCTCCTGTCATGTAGGGTGTTGCTCAGACCCTCGGCACTGTCACAACTTACTCTGCACGGCAGGTGAAAAGCTGGCCAAGAGCTGAAAATCGGGACTGACGTCAGAACAAACACCCGTGGTGTAATACTGATTTCCGCACTGCTGTGCCCACAGGGGACCACATGTCTTCAGAGAAACGAGAACCGTGACAAAACACATGGAAAATGTTAGTCCTCTAACCTCTCCTTTTGTGAAAATCAGAAACCATTTCTATTCTTTCACAAGACTCTAGGAATTGTCAACTGCTGAAACGATCCAGTCAAAAATGTCTTTGCAGGAAAGGGCAGTGGAACAAATGCAGTGAGGGAGGTGGGCATGCACTGTGCCCACGGGCTGGTCTCCAGGGAGAAGGTGCCCAGGGATGTCAGGGGAGGGTGTCAGGGAAGGGGCACACTGGTGACCCACCAAGCCAGAGAAAAGGGGTGCTTTCCTTCCAGAGAACACCCAGAAGAAAAGTACGTGCAAAGTTGATATTCTGTCTCTTCACTACCTGGGACGGAGGGGCTTCATCAGCAAAGAGGCAACTCAAACTCACTATCTTCGTGAAGCTTAAGTGCATCTACAGATATAAACACTTAGAAGAGTATTGGGTAAATAGCAAATAGTATATAATTGTTAGCCAGCATCATTATCATTGCTATTCTTGAACAAAGGCCTCCATCCTCTCTCTTCCATTTACACTCTTCAGCAGAAACCATGAACCCCCAGGGCCCCAAAGGCCAGGCAGGAAACTAGCAGAGTGCGCCTGGCCACACAGGACAGCACGGGGATGCAGAGCCATGCTGCACACACTGCGGCAGCTCCTGCCCACTGACTGGGGTGAAACTACCTTGGGTTACCATATCTCCTAGATTTTCAAGAGTCAGAGAAGGCAAACTTTGTGTGAAAATTCAGTTGAAAAAACCCACACTGTGTGCTAAACAAACACAAATGCAGTTCATGAACTGCCACTTTTTAACTGTGCTATGAAGTATTTCTTTGAGGACTTCAGTACCCCATATTTCTACTCCCTCAAACCTTCAATCATCCATGCTGGAACCTGTCTCCTTGCCCTTGTGCTGCATACATACTCCAGGGTGTAGTATTTCCATTAACCCAGTCCCCAATCTCTCCTTGTCAGCGGCCCTTGAATGCCAACAACTCCTGATTAAATCCTGATTAAGCCACATGGGAAACATTAAATAATATTAAAATCATTAGAATGTAAAAAGAGAAAAATTGGAAAGAGAAGCCTAGTCAAGATCTTAAAAATCATCTACAAGATTTAACATTATGTAAAGCCATGAATCAATTATTAAAACTGAACTGAAAAGCATGGACTTATAAAAAACAATTGGAAGAACAAAAGGGAACTTATTTGACCCAGTTTAATTGTTAGTAGCTCAAAGGAGAAGTCATACTTCATGCTCAGTGAACAAGCCACAGTTTTTTTCTCCCAAAACCTGGTTCATTTTGCCAGTTTATTAGGGGGAAGTCATGAGCAATACCCTTGATTAGTTTACCAAATAAGAGATACAATTATTGATTCCTATATCTTCATCCCCAAGTTCTTTTTGCTTTTATCACCTTGAAAAATAACTCATGAAGTATTCAAGAAATTTTTTTTGTTTCAAAAGCAATGGAAAACAGAATTAAGAAGTTGAAATTAGAATATGCCAATTCTTAATGCCAAAACTACATTCCTGCTTTATGCCCAGAATTTATGAAGTTTCAAAAAATGTGATGATTTGTCAGTCTTTCCCATATAATCCTTAAGAGTATCTTAAGATTTTGACCTTTTAGGTCTGTAAAGGAAACTCTGGCTTTCTTCTTCCTTCTTTCTTTTCCACCTCCTTCTTACTCTGTCTCTCCCCTTCCCCTTGCTTGCTACAACGATTGTTAATCTCTCAAAGTCTCTTTTGATTTTATTTTACTTTATCTGACATTACAGATTACAATTTTTGAGGTAAATTCTATAATCCCTATATCTCAATATATTCCTCTTTCTGAATTTATTCTACCTAAAAACAAATAGGCAAACAAAAAAAGATGAAAGCAACCCTGCTATAAAGACTTTGGGAACTTGTAAACCATAAAGATTCACTGCAATATTCATTTACGCCTTGATGTAACATTTTATTATAAGCAATACCTGATTTACTGAGTTGTACCAAAGTCTGAAAAGTAATATCTGCTAGTAAAAATAGAATAACATTGCTCAAAATTGATTACATTTTTTTGAATAACACAATTATACACACTGGCTTTTTAAGATGGCATGCCAATGGAATAGATATAATTAACGTAAAGTTAAATTAAGTTTTCTAAGACTATGTTAACAGGGCAGTACAAGTAAGATACACCTATATGCGTCAAATAAGATTGGGTTCTTATTTGCCTTTAAAAGTTTTTTTTGGTGTGAGATGATTTTCATTTTTTATATAGCCAAATCTTTTCAACAATTTCCTATGTTATTTCTTCTGTTAGTTCTAAGCTTGGAAACTTATCCCTTTCAGAAAATTTCCATTTCTTCTAGTTTTTTATATGACTTAAAAGCATATTTGCATATGCAAGTTATTACCCAATTAACAGTCCCCAGACCACTTGTTAAGTAAGGCATTGTATTTCACTGATTTGTGATATCTTTTCACAGCCTCCTAGAAACTAAGTGAGAGTAAAACACTAACATGAACGAAGATGAGGGACCAAGCCATGCTCTGAGCCAGACATTAGAGCACATGATCAAAAACAAAAATACTGTTTTAGCTTTGAAACCTGCTTTCTGAATTAGCAGTACCCATCGTGAATGTGCCTACAGGAAGGAGAAAGGAGACCTGGAATTCCACCGTTACCAACAATGGTATTCCTTTTGTTCCCCTTTCCAAGACATCCTGTGGCAAGGAGCTCGCTGTACACTTTAAGAAGTCTAAATATAAACAGATTGTTCCTTTGCCTCGGACACCCACACAGCATGATTGATCCAAAAGCAAACTCTAACATTTAAACACCAAGACCTGATTTGATAGGAGGGATGGTGAGAAAACACTGACTTCACACTTTCATGAAAGGAATGGGATTTGAAAAGTAAATACTCACAAGAAATCCTCCGGTTCCCAAGTTCCTTGTGAGTGTCAGGCCAAGGCTCATGGTGGTTTTCATTTGGGTAACATTGGGAATGCTTGTGGCAGCTTTCAAAGGGAAAAAGATGTTAAAAAGTGACTACACTGGGACTCTCTTGTCCCCTCCTGGCTTGAGCCAGGAGTCCTGTCCTCTCACTTTCTCTCTAAATAAAAGCCTCTGCCTTGCTCTCCTAAAAAAAAAAAAAAAGTGACTACATCTTCACCATTAATTGGAAGTTGTTAAAAAAAAAAAAAACCACACACTCATGTTTATATGTAGCATTGAATTTAAGGTCAGGCATGCAGGTGCTCAAGTTACATAAACTAACACGGGGAAATGAGACACCTTCAGTGATCCGGTAGCTCACTTCAGTAGCCAATCAGAGGTGGCAGAATGTAAGATATTCAGATGTGGAGTCTGGAGAAGGCATGACTTAAATAATAATTTAATTTTTTTAAAAACAAGGGACTGGCAAAACAAAACAAAACCTATGTGAGGACACCATTTGGTTCCAGTTTGCCATCCCCACTCTTTCAAAGGTCATGAAGGCTCTATCTAATGCTTTATTCTGAATCAGAAAAAAATATCCTTAGAGTGTTATCAAAGAATGCCATACAGTAGAATCTGAATCAAGGCAATAGTGAGTGAATTTTAAAAGGAAATCATGACTAGCCATGTAAAATACTAAATACAGCTCTCCTTCTCCACTGAACTAGAGCATCATCCACTGTACTCATTCTTGAGCTACGGGACATTGCAATTCTCCTCAGCATTATAATTTCTCATGCTCTCTATTCTCTGCCAAGCCAAGACTGCCACTTTCATTTATCCTCCAGGTCCCAGGGTGACCATTTAAATACTCTACCCTTCTTCTTAAGTCTCCAAACTCAACCTGGGCCCCATCACTCTCTGTGAATAACTTGTCTACTGCAGAGCAGACGTGAAGCTTCTCTTACCTTTGCCTAAACGCTGTTCTCGTAACTCTTAAAGTGTTATCAAAGAATGCCATACAGTAGAATCTGGGTCAAAGCAATAGTGAGTGAATTTTAAAAGGAAATCATGACTAGCCATGTAAAATAATACTTGTTCTTTCTTTCCTTTGTGCCTTAGAGAAGGGAGCATTCTTTCTGAGACTCATTTTCCCAAGGACCAGTGGTGTTAATTCCACCCAGTTAACTCCATTCTTAACTAACAGTCACTGCCTTTTATTGCCTCTTCCCACTCTCCCTACAGAGAGGATCTTCTCCTTTTAATTAGAACAATCTTGTCTTAACCCTGCTACCCCATCAAACTATGTCCCCAAAACTCCTTCACTTCAACTTCTGGAAACGGAGGTTTACTTTCACTCTTTGTATTTGCTCACTACCACCTGCTCATAAATTCTTTGTAATTTATTTTCTCCTTTCACCACTAGTGGGTTTATACTGTAGGCAAGAAAGTTACAAAATATGATCTGATGGAGGAGAGAAAAGAAAATAATAGAACTTCTGTGTGTTTTTATTCTTTTAAGCTTATTTTTATTTAGGAAGATTATATGCCAGTACATATATATAATTAAAAAAAATAAACTACATATATTAGGGTTGGGTTGAATGTTCAAAAGTAGAGGTGATATGATATATTACATGTCATATAATAAAACTTCTGAGCACTCATCCTTAATGTACATACCGTTATTACTTTAGGAAATTTTATTGATATGTATGTATTTGTCATATATGTGTGTATATATGTATTATGTGTGTACATATATCATATATGTCTATGTGTGTGTTTTATATATATATATATATATGGGGAGTGTTCATATGTCAGAGAGCACTGATCTCGATCACCCACACCTCCTTAAATAAGCCAGTGATCTGTACTCAGTCCTCATACCCTTCAACCTCCGCAGCATTTGAGACCCGATACTCCCTTCCATTTCACTGAAAGTATGTTTATTGAGCCTCTACTTCATGCCAGAAATTAGATACACAGAGCTGCATAAGAAGCACTCCTACTTTTGTTTCTCATTCTTAATCACTGTTTTTTTAATCTCTTCTTTCCCTTGATGTACATGACACTATAATTTCCTAATTCATGCTTTAATTCTTCACAACCCCATGACTGCCCAGTGCAAGCTTTTTGGAATGATGCTCATTGTCATCATATTGAGTAATTTTTTACCTGCATTGGGAAATATTGTATGGAAATATGACTTGTTCAGCTTCCTAGTCTTGCACCTTTTGTAAACTTTTTTGCATTAATAGAAAGCAGAGGACGTGAAGCTACTCTTATCGTACCTAAAGGTCTTCTCTGGAATATGGATAAACAGCAATTCCAAACAGTTATAAATATTTCCAAATTGTGACTTTTTTACTAGGATGCCACCATTTAGACATAATCAGCATGTTTCTCAGCACCTCTAAATGCAGCTGTAGTACTGACGATTCTATACTTAATGATTTGTTTCTGAAGAAAAAGAGATACGGACAGTCTCAGATTTCTGCAAGTAATCTGCAAAATAATCTTAAACACTGATGAAAACTTGTCCACACTCTGGGCGTAGATGGTCCAAGAGGCAGCATGTTCAGCACACATTTGTATTAAATCTGGTCTTCAAACTGTTGGAAATTTGGGTACAACTGGACCCCTTATGACCAAAGTGATGAAGGCCAAAAGAAAACCTGTCTATAGTTCTTCAAGACAGTGCTATAATTGGTTTTGTTGTTTCTCAGTTGTGTATTTAACAAAGGAGATTTTTTTATTTATAGAAAAATCATATTGCTAATTACCACTTACTTTCCAAATTCAGCTTTTTGCATGTAGCAGTGGATAGATCAATAGGACATTTATACACATCTCCCATTCGGTTCTCAGGAAAGCCACTCCAAGGTGAACCAACCAGCAACCTAAAAATAGAAATACTTTTTTCATTTGAAAGTATTAGCTATAGTTTCTTACAGATAAAAACTGACCACAAAACAGTGAAGAAACTCTACATTTAATTCCAAGTTTTGTTAAGTGAACAGTTCATATTTGTTCAGCTGTAGCAGCTCTTCTTCCTTTCCTAGTAGCTGATCAAGATCCTGATGAATATCTGCAGTACAGCGGTCTTGCCACCACATCCTGGGAGGTTTCTCTAAAATGGTGCTGTCCAGTAGAAATATAATGCAGGCCACATATGTAATTTTAAATTTTCTAGTAGCCATATTAATAAAATAACAGGCTAGAGGTGAAAATAACTTAAGTCATATATTTTCTTTCATCTACATATCCAAAATGCATGCAATCAATATAAAAAGTATGAATGGCCTATTAATGAGTATTCTTTTTCCATACTGTCTTTGAAATTTTGTACATATTTTATACTTAGAGTACATATCAACATGGACAAATAACATCTCAAGTGCTCAGTAGCTGCATGTATCTACTGGATGCTCTACTGATCAGCATAGTTCTAATGAATGAAACAATATCAAAACCAAAAGCAGTAACTAACATTTGTTGAGTCCTTTCCATGCCCTAAGCACTTTCATATGTTAACTTACTTAGGGATGAGTTGTCTAAGTGGCTTTATGTTCATTGTCTCTATAAGGGGATCCTTAACAAAAATACAGAACAGATACCCTATGGGGCTCTCTTTATACAGGATGTCCTGTATAACATCAGAGACTGGTGCTCACACCCTCCCTGTGGTTAGTTTCACTTCCTAGAGAGTTTCTCCAACTAATATCCTCCGGGTGGTTAGTTTCACTTCCTAGAGAGCTTCTCCAACTAGAGACTATGACTTTACCTGACATTTCTGGACACAGAAGAATAGAAACTATAGCAGGTTAATTACTCAGCAGCATCCCTTACTTAGGAAGCACATTTGATTCAATGTTTTTTCCTTGTCAAAATTGGGAAGGAGTAAATTACCTATTGATGAAACTTAAATTATTTCATAAGCCTTCTGTATAATATTTTATCCATTAAACCACATGTGCCCCACGCTAAGTGCCATGGTGGATACAAAAAGCATGCTGCCATATGCTAGATATAGTTAAACTGTTTAAACTACATGACAAGTAAAACAATAACAATACAAATGAATGGAAATATGAGTAAGCTCCCCTCTGGAACAGACGTTAAAATGGTCAAAGGATGCAAAAATGGATATTGAAGAGGAAGGTAGTCGTCAACATTCTTAGCAAAAGGGACAGCATGAACAACCATGGAAAGAAGAAAATAGGGATTTTTTTAATGGACAGTTAATGGTTCAGTTATAAGCTTTTCCCCTTATTCGTCTTACAGAATTACTCTCAAATCTTTTATAGAGCGTTCTATAATACTTTAATTCAGCTAACTTTGATTCAGATTGGAGTTGAAAAATTTTTGCCTTCTTATGAGCAGATAACTTAGCATAATTTATCTATTAAAATATAATCTATAGTACAACACAGAGAAGGCAAGTAGAGATTCTGCAGCATCTTACTACACTGATGGACAGTGACTGTAATGGGGTTTGTGGGGGGACTTGGTGAAGGGGGGAGCCTAGTAAACATAATGTTCTTCATGTAATTGTATATTAATGATACCAAAAAAATACATATATATCTATATATATATAACATACAGATAGGATTACAATACCACACATACAAGGTTTTTTTGAAAAAAGACAAAAATCTTAATGCTGGATATTAGTAAGCCTCAATATTTGCTTTAATTGCCAGAGAGAATCAGTAGTAGGATTTAGAATGCATGCTTGAACATATCTGATATGCCTCAAATTCATGACAGTCAGAGGAACTGGGAAACTTATAAAGAAAATTGCTTGTTTTTTTCTGTCTATGTACATCCTTGGTTTTATTCCACCTATTCCATAGTGGGTCTACATAGCACTACCTCTGATTTTTATGAACAGGATACATCTTTAAATGTTAGCAAGAAATAAAGAGACAATCTGGCTCTTGTTTACCTCTCCAACCTTGTTTCTTTCCATGTATCTTCCCAAAATTCTATTTTTCAGTCACATTTAACTCAGCTTCTCCACTAAGTCAGAGTCCCTCTAGCTTCTAAACCTTCACCATGCTGTCCCTTCTTGGTGAAGTTCTACTCATTAGTCACATCTCCCATTAGATACCACTTCCTCCAGGACATCCCCTGGCTCTTCCGAATCTAGACAAGGTGGCTTTCCTGAGTACTTGCATAGCCTCTGACCTTTCCTCGTCCCAGTTTTTCTCTCATTACCTGTAGCTGCTTGCCTACTGACCAATCCCCCCACTAGAGAGGAAACATCCATAAGGACCAGGCCTTGTGTTTGTAGAACTATTAAGCTAATTGATGAATGAAAAAACAAATGCACAAACAAATGAATGGATGATTCCACACTCTCATTTAAGAGAACTCTCTTGGTTGAGGGAAAGTTAAGTAGAAAATTTTTTATTTTGTTCTTATTGAGGAACATTTCTTTTTGTCCAAGATAGAGTTAAAAAAAGAGGTGAAAACACTCAACCCAGCTGAGAGGAAAGCACTGTACGCTTAACCATTCTGTCAGGTGTTCCTGATTCGGTTTCAGTCTCCACATACCTACTATGCATCAAACTTGTTTGGTTGTTCGTTTATAAACAAAAGCTGACTGTGGGATCTTTGTAGAACCAAATAGCACCTTCCAGCAAGACACTATACTAGCAAGTGTGGCTCTGCCCCTTGGCATGCTGGGAATTCCTACAATTAAATCAAATCTTACAGCAGCTGGTGCTATGTATGAGGCCTTCCAAACATTATCTAATTTAATGAGCAAAACAAGGCTGAGGTTATTTTACCTCCACTTTACAGATGGAACTAGAAGACACAAAGAAATGAGCAACTTAGTCCTGCTCACAGAGCTCATGAGAGATGAGTATAACTGATTCTCAGCTGCAAGAAGTCCTGGCCTAGGGCCCAGATTGGGAAAACTATCTGAATTAATGGGCTGGGTTCCAGAAGCATCAAGGAGTAGAAACTGGGAACTGAGGGTCAGGCTGCACCGAGTGTGCTGGGGGTGTGGCTGTGAGGCTGCAGACCAGAGGTACACCAGCCAAGGTCACCTTGTAAGAGCACTTCCACACTGTGGGGTCCAGCCTGTACTCTTTACACTGCAGGTAAGAACAGGGTATGTCCGGGTATTACTAAATATGGTCATTTCAGTGACTTCTACTGTACACATTCTCCATCCATCCTCACCGTAGCCCAAGAGAACCACCCTGAAGAACATAAGTTAAGCGTTTGCTTTAATCTTTTTGTTCCTCAGAGACTCCAGCGGTAAAGCACCACTAGCTACCTGTTTTCTCAGTGAGAAAGCTCAGCAGTCTACTTGCTGTCTCTCTGGACACTCTCCCTGTCCCCTCTTTCAACCTCATCAACGAATTCAGGATATGCTCACCTCACACGCAGGCAGGGTCCCAACACCCCCCTGCCACCGTGAGAGCTGGGCCCTCCTCCTCTGGTGAGACAGAGAGGCAGGCCTCCGCACACCGTGCTTCTAAGGATGCGAAAGTACATGAAATTCTTTCAAAGAGTACATACAAATCTCTAGCAGTATTGTGCCATTTGAAACTCTTAACACAAAACAACTGAAAACAGTGGAGAAACAGACCATTTGGTGACTGGTGAGGAACAAGAAGGGTGTCCTCATCACTTATGACTCATTCTTTGAGTATCGTACACCACATTCATAAGTAGCCTGCAGGTCATGCTAGCGACTACAGAGAACTTTTCAGAGACCGTCACCATCCGCTTCATTGGCAATGTTTCCAGTGGACACTCCTCACTTCCGCAGAAAGGCCTGGGTGAAATCCCAGTTCCTGACAACGTGTCCTTATAAGGAAAGGCTATGACATCGCCAGTGGCTACTCTCAGAGAACTGTGACCTTCTCCAATGAACCAGACAGGGAGATGAGGGAGACTGGTATATTTATCCATACAATTTTACATAATCAGCCATAGCAGGAAGAAACACACCAGGAGAGACTGTTACATAGGTGGTGAACAGGGTGGGTTAGTGGGTAAGCCCGGCCAACGTGCGGCAAAGCTGCATTGAAGGTATGGATTTAACTTAATCATGACTGGATGGAAGAGCTGCGTTAACAGTTTTGTGTGCTGATTCTTAAAACAAAACAAAACCCCAACATATATACTTCTCTTTTCCTACAGTGAAACTGGAAATTCTTCCAATACTACTTAAAATAACACTGTTCAATTATCTTGTGGGAAAACAGAGATTATGTGGCATTCCAAAACACAGCCAATTTGTCTACCTCCAGGGGAATTCAAAATACTTTGTTTAGTGAGTAAGCAGTATTTATGGTGGTATAGGTAGTTTAAAACCCACAATCCAGGGGCTGTTATAAATATCTTCCTTTAGTCTGTCTCTAACCTCTCCAAGTGTTCCTTTAATGCTAAATACTAAATAATGCTAATAATACTAAAGTGGTGATTTTTCATAGAGATTATCGACCAAGGTGTACTTTAAAGAGTAGGGCAAAACATGCTTTACTTGATTCAACAAATGTTTATTGAGACCCTATGGAGCTGATATTTTGTACAGCTCCAGGGGGTACCTTTCGCGTGTGAATGGTGTCCCTGGCCTTGTGCAGTATATACCCTGTGAGGCTGTGTTTACATGGTGGCCAGAACTACTATGTGCCAGGCTCAATTCCGGCACCAGGGATACATCAGTAAGTAAGTCAGAAGTTTCTGGTCTTGTGGAGCTTATATTCTGTGAGAAAAAGCAGACAATAAATTTAGTAAGGGGACCTGGTGATGGCGATCACTGCTTTGTGGCAAAAATGAGCGGGATAGAGTTTGGAGTGTGGGGAGGGTGTTGTGATCTTTATTAGCATGGTCAGAAAAGGTCTCACTGAGAATGTGACATTTAAGCAAAGAC